CATGCAATGATCTCTATAAACCTTTCATCTTGTACTTCTTCAGGCTCACCCTATTATTGCACTACTTACCACTACCCCAAAGCTGACTGTGGTTCTTTTTGTGATTTTCTTCATAACAGTCCTTAGACTGATGTCATTTTTCTCTCAGCTAATAAATGCGCCTCCTAGGTAACTTAGGTAACCTTCTGGATTCAGGCAGGAATTGAAGCTGAACTGTTTGCAAGGAACTTTTCTTCTAATTCGACTTTTGAATCATATTGTTATTCTTTACCTTCCATTCCAAATAAATAGGTTAACCCATTGTTAGACATTTATTTCACTTAAGCGTTTGTTGCTAAAGCTGTATGTCAATTAAACTCTTCTACGGCTTGTAGTCCAGACAACATTTTTTTTTTGTATGTATTTAGGTGCTCTTAGAAGTCCTTATGGTCTTATCATAGAGCACTGCGGAAGAGCATTTAACAGGAAGTTCACGCCTCCTTCCGTACCAATGTTGCTTGTTGAGCTAGAGCTGGAGTCGAACCTCAGACCTCTGGGTTCTGAGCCAGAACTCTGCGCCACGGCTGCTCAAAAAACATAGCTGTTATGGTTTTACAAAATTGTTTTTTTCCAGAACTCTCTTTAATTCTCTCTAAATTATTTATTTAATCTAAATTATCTAATTAAGTACTTAACTTAATTAGATAATTTAGATTAAGTCTAATTAAGTCTTGTTTTTCTGCCTGCTGGAAAATGGCATCCTTTGTTTTTTAAAAAACTCAGGAGAACATTCTGAGATTCAAAAATGAAACCTCAAGGTACTATTCTTGGTCCTGTGTTGTTTCTTACCTACATTAATGATCTTCCTGACAACCTTACATCTAAAGTTGACTCTAAAAGTAGCTGCTGATGACTCAACTTTATACTCCTGTTTTGAAAAAAAGTCTTCTTTTTTGGATTGACTAGAATGGGCAGCTAATCTTAAATTTGATTTCACTTCTGTAATAGGTTGGGGGTTGCACTGGCTTGTAAATTTCAACTCCAACAATTTCAACTCAGTTATTTACAGCAAACAACTATTGCAATACTGTCCACATTCCTATATTGGTGAATGGTAACTCTCTCACTGATCTTCTTCTTTGTGTCTTGGATTATCGTTCACTACTGACTTTTCATGGAAATCATAAATACAATCAATTGTTAAAGTAGCATCTACTAAAGTTGCTTCTCTTTATCATGCTCGCCATTTTGTTACTCTTGATTCTATTCTCTACTTCTACAAATCTGTTATTCGCCTCTGTATGGAATATTGTTGTCATATTTGGGCTGGTTCTTCTAATGATGGTCTTTCTCTTCTAGACAAAGTCCAAAAATACATCTATCTACCATGCAAAAGTCTCTCTCTTTGTCATAAAGTTCCATGCTTGAGCCTTTTTCTCTTTTCTATAAATACTATCATGGTTGCTGCTCAAAGTTCTCTATCTCTGTTCCATCAATTAAAACTTACTCTTGCTCTAAAAACTTAAATTAAATCTAGTTTTTTTCCTGCACTCTAGCCCTTTTCAACTCTCTCCTATCTTCATGTTTTCCTGACTCATATAACTTACAACCTTTTAACTCTTCTGTCAAACATTATTTTTTTCTATAATTCTATTTGTTCTTTTTTTCTAGTAACTCCTAACTTAATTATGGTTGCTTGCAGCCTTCTTGGGAGTAAATCAGAACTAAAAAAAAATCGCTTTCTATGAAGAGACTCTAAGACAATTCTCTATCAATTGCAAACTAGAAACCAAAACAAACTTGTTGTTTTTAAATATGATTTTACTGAGAGGCGTTTTCTGTTTAGGTAGGATTAAAAGCTATCAATTCAGAGACAAAATGATATAGTTAAAATTATTAAATTGTTTCATAATTTTTTTTATATAAAGTTTTTATATTGAAAGCGACAATATCATTGGAACAATGCTTTCATTCCAAGCATGAAAATAACGTAGTTTTAATACTTTTGATTTTTTTTTTAATGACTTCAGGGTAAGCTTAATCTTAGTTCATTATTTTTAGCACAGAACACTTTTAGCCATTTCCGACATAAAGCACAGAACACTTTTAGCCCTTTTTGACATAAAGCACATTTGCACATTTTGTTTAATTCAGATTAAACTTAATCTTAGTTCATTACTTTTCTTTTCCGACAAGAAGCACAAGTAGTTACCAATTATCAAAGAATAACAAACCATATAAGCAATTCCATTTTTAACTTACGTTACACGCACCTCAATGTTACCAAATATTTGCCTATTTAAACTGTAAATTAAACTTTTAGCTATTTTGTATGAAAGCTGTTAGTCTAATGAATAAAAGAAACTAAAAAGTTTTGAGTCTTATTACTGAAACTTGTTACTGAAAATGCCACTTACTTACGTTACACAGAAAACCAGGTAAATAAATTGCTTCAATTTTTAGGTCAGATTTCTGCAAATCAGTAAAGCGGTTTATATTAGAAACTTTTACAATATGTTAAGAACTGTATGCTTATTAAAAATATATAAAATTTTATCAGAGGTCAGTAAGGAAAATAAACTGGTTTTTTTGATTTTATATATCTAACTTTTGTTACATCACTTACGTTACCTTGCGATTTTTATTGTGGATTTTTTACTTCTATTATTTCGAGTTAGAGTTATGTAACGAAACAATCGCAAAAGAATTAAACTCTTTCATTAAAAATAATTAACAAAGGAAATTTAAAAAAACTGATGGCACTCTTCCTGAGTAATTTTTCATAACATTTATTAAAGCTATCATATTGAAAACAGTTTTTCCACAAGACCAAGAGCAACTTTGAAAAATTATTTTAGCATTACAATTTTAAATACTTATTTGAGTCGTTTAAATAAGAAAATGTTTGATTTGTCGAAGTTTTTACTTACACTCCTAACGCTTATGCGTATTGCCTTATTTTCATTAGGTTAAACTTTTAAAATGCCGCAAAATATTTACATTTAAACCTTTTGAAATATTTTTGATGAAAAACTCCTATCACAGTTTAGGAGGGAGAGGGGTTCAGGTATATGTGATTATTTGTGACAGGAGGGAAGGGGTTAAAAATCGACAAATACAGGGTGACGTACTTTATGGATGATATATACCCATAATAGCATTTACAAACAATTTGTCTTACTAAAACAAAAACAAAAAAAGTTCTAACTGATTTTTTTTAATACTATTTTTATATTATATATTTTTTATACTAAGAGAATAATAAAGAATTTTTTTTTTTAAATGTATATTTATATAATTCTTATTTTTATTTATTTATGTGTATGTGTATTATGTTATTTATGTGTATGTCAAATAAAATAAGAATACATAAACAAAAAAGCAATAATATAAATAATTTTAATTAACATTAAAAAAATAAAAGATTTTTTTCTAAATTTTCCTAATATAAAAAGTTCTAATTAAAACCTTGTCAAGGAAATAAAAATTACTTAATGACATAATTCATTTTGTTAACGAAAAACCGCCAGATTTGATTATTATTAAAAATAGTTGCACAAGTAGAAAAAAAAACATAACTTAGAGTTATGCTTGACTTAAATCTCATAAGAAGGAGTAAAGACATTTATGTTGTTCCAGGACAAAATGTGTCAGCCCAAGAATCATTTTGAGGGAAATCCTGAAAGAAATTTCATTCAGCCATAAGGTAGTAGTAATAAAAATGCAATGGGAAATTTGTACCAAGTCAGGGTGAGTGATAGAGTGTATCTGATGAAGAAGTATAAGATAAAATTTTTAATGAGATCATAGCATGATCTGAACAATAAGGGGAAATGAGCACAAGCTAGTGTCAGACAGAGGTCACAAATCAAGGAATAAAGGTAATTGATTACTGTTGTCTGAAAAACAAGTTAACTATATGAGCAAGAGAATAATAGAGAAAAAAATAATAAATCACTTTAGAACCACCATGATCAGTTCATATACCAGAGTCAAGCTGTTCAGTGTTATTAGCATTCAACTAAACAATAACAATAGTATTGGTAGTGAGAAAAACTTTTGTCGATTTGATTAGAAACACCCTTGAAAAGTCTTGGGAAGAAACTAAAGTTTTAATCAAAAACTTATGTTTTAAATTGATTATGCATTAGTGATGTAGTAGTAAAGGGTTCTCCTCATAAGCAAGAAGTTCCAAGCTCAATCACCACCACGTCTCTAATAGTACCGCACTCAACTTGTTTCTACACGCAGCAGCCTTGTTTGTTGAAGGTCGTGTTTCAGGGTTATAGAATTGAGAGAGGGTTGTAACCACAAAAAGTAGCCTCCTTGGCTGTAGTGGCCTTCTTGGCCTTAGGGAGGTGAATATTAAAAAAAAAATTAAAAACTAGGCTCAATATTGTAGTTAGTGCTTGAAACATACAGCAATAAGCTTTATCTAAATTAAGCTAATTATTTGCCTCATTCCTGCTAATCAACCCAAGTAGTTAAAAAAAGACTCATTGTGTGGCTCAACAAATCACACCTAACCACTTATAAGGACACCTACCGTGTACAGCACGGTACTGTTTATGGTAATGTTTACAGGTGTTGGTGGATTGAGCTTTTCTGAGAGATAAAAGTAATCATGAAAACTTACTACCATTTAGCCTCTAATAAAGAATTACTAACTTGAGTTTCAAAACTGTACCCTTATTATTTGATAAAAGAGTTACAAAGCCACTACCAAAGAGGCGCATAAAAAAACGTTGACTCAAGCAGATATGGGTAGAATTCTACAACTTTGAACAGCAGCTTTATTTATTTAAACATTTTAGCGAAAAATGATTTGACAATTTAACTGGCTTAGCAATTGAAATCAATTTAAACCTTTTAAAAACTTTTTTACTATAATTAAAACAATGCACTATCAGTAATCCCATGTGACGCTTGTTTAGGGCAAAGTGATTACTTTTTTTGTTGTAAACCATCATGTAAACCATCAATTTAATATTATTAGTAATTATCTTTATTAATTTTTTTAGGGTTCACCATTTAACCGACAAGATCTTCGAACTATTAATATTCATACAGCAGATATGTGTATTTTATTGTCTCCAGGAAGCACTGACAAATATGACATGGAACACGAGGCACTCTCAGATAGAAAAGTTATCTCACTCACTCTTAATTTAAAAGGTTTTTGAGCTTTTGTTTTTTATTATTTTTTCCAAGCTATAATATATAAAATATTGATTTAAGTTTTAATGTGTTAGTTGATGTGTAATAGTTTTAATTGTTGTGTAAGTTAACAATATGGTAAAAATTTAACAATACTTAAACTATAATAATATATTTACTATTTATATATTTATTAGACATTCTTATATATTTTTAAGTAATGGTAATGTATTTTTGGAAAATTTTGTTAATTATATATTTGTTAACATATTATGGTAATATATTTTTAAGTAAATATAATATATTTTTGAAAAACAGCTTTTTTTTGGTTCTCTTGTGTTATATACATGATATTAATTTCAGCTTTTTAAAGGAAGGTTTTTAAAGGATACTTTAAGGTAGTTGTAGTGTAAGCAAGGGTTGTTCAACAAAAGGCTCACAGGCCACAAAATGGTCCTCAATGTCCTCAGACGTGGCTCACTTACCGCTTTCTAAAATTAAAATAAATAAATTTTTATACATAATTTTGAGTGTACCTTTCTAATGTTATAAATATGTTTTTAAATCAATTTAAAAACTTGCATTTTGATATAACATTGATTATAACTAATTTAAATTTGATTAATATAAATTTAAAAATTGGTAAAATTAGAGTTTTTTTTAAGTATGCTTTTTCACGAAAAAAAATTAATAAAAATTTGTTTAATCATGAATAAATATGTTATGGCATAAAATGTTAAGAGACAAAATACGAAATTTTAAAATTATTTATAAATAAATTATTTTTTCAGAAGTTTTGCGTTCACATACGGTAATACACATACATCAATAAAAAAAAATTATTATGTTGCTGCTATTTTAAAATTTATTTAGAAGTTTTGCATACACATACATCAATAAAAAAAATGTTAAGTTGTTTTTTGATGAAAATCAACATCAATTATTAAAAAAAATAAATTATGTTGCTGCTATTTTAAACTAGTTCCTTTTTATCATTTAAGGTTTTTGTTACTGCTTCAGTATAACAATTAATTTTTGGATTGGGTGTATTTTGCATATTTTTTTTGCATTACAGTCAGAGAATAGTTTTTCATCATACTGTTGCATGTTGTATGTCATCATACTGTTGTATGTTGTATTTCATTATACTGTTGTATGTTATCCAATCGATTAATAAATTTATTTATCTCATTCAAGACAATACATACAAAAGTGTTACATTGTAAAATATTAATATATACATTAGTATTACATATATAGTAAAAAAGAAGTTGTTTTACAGCAGAGTAGTTAGTTGTATTACTTGTTACTTGTATTACTTACAGTATTACACAGTGGCTGGTGAACTTAAATTTAATTTTGTTTTGCGAAATTCAATTTTGTTTAGTTTGTTTAGTTTAACAAAACTCATTTTTATTTAGCCAATTGTTATCGCAACAATCTAGATCTTCTTATATTTATGAACGGTAATGTACTCAATGAATCAATTGTAAAATTAGCATCTGCTAAGGTTGCATCACTGTGCCACTTTCTTACTCTAGATTCTAGTCTTTATCTCTATAAATCTCAAATCCATCCTTGTATGAAATACTGTTGCCATATCTGAGGCGAATCTTCCAATGATGCTCTTTCTCTCTTGGGCAACGTGCAAAACGTATTTTAAACATAGTTGGACCTACTCTTGCAGCCAATTTTTAATCATCTTTAAAACAGTATCTGTTATCTTTAACCTCCATTCATTATTACATTGTCATAATGTTGCTTTTCTTTCTTTTTTCTATAAATACTACAATCGGCACTGCTCTAAAAAGCTAGCGTCTACTAAAATTCATTTTCGTGTTACTTATCATTTAATTGAGTCTAATCGTTTTACTGTGACTGTTCCTAAGTGCTCTAAAAATTCTTATTCGTCCAGTTTTTTTCCTCGAACATCAGTTCTTTAAAATTTACTTCCTTCATCTTGTTTTCCTAATTCATATAATTTGCAATATTTTAAGTCATTTGTCAATTGTTATCTTGCTCTATAAACTTTATCTTTTCTCTTCCAACTCTAGTAGTGGTTGCTTGCAGCCCTGTTTGAAGTAAAGATGTTGCAAAAAAAAATTAATTGACTTATTTTTTTTTGAAGCAAAAATCCACCTTTTGCAGTGGGGATATAAGTGGTTGAATTGTTATAAAGATATAACAATTCAACGTATATAACTTTCAACAAGCTTTGCTATTTCTTTGGTTGAATTGTTATAAACATATAACAATTCAACGTATATAACTTTCAACAAGCTTTGCTAACTCTTGCTAAGCCTTTCTAATTCTTGATATTGTATTTCTAATAAGTATTGATAATAAGTATTTCGTCCAATGTAAGCATGTTTTTTTTAACATGTTTTATTATATTTTGTCGTGTGCCTAGGTTCAATATCTTGTTGAAATAGGTGAATAACAAAAATAAATGTAAAAGATATATTTATAATAAAATAATAAATTTAAACATGCATGAATGAAAATAAAAATAAAAAAAATTAAAATAAAAAAAAATTTATTAATATGATAAAAATAGTATAAAAAAGTTAAAAACCCCTCCGTCATATATTTTGTAGTTGTAGTCTACGCACTATATTACAGTTGCTGTCTACGCACTACTAATATATTATGCACACTTTAATTTTTGAAATGTTTTTTTTTTTTGGAAAATAGAATAATAATAAAAACAAAAAATATTTTGCCATAAAAATTGCGATTTCACGTCTTTATATGACCACGCAAGTTACATTTTGCTATGACGGTTTGACCCAGCTAATTCAAAAAATATTTTAGAAAAAATATTCTAAAAAAGTGAAATTAATTACATCACAAATGTTTTTATATTAGCGAAACGATTTTAAATAAAGTAACAGTTTACTGAAAAAAAGTTTTGTTTTTTAAATATAATTGACAGTTGTATATATTTTTTTAATTTAAAACATAAATTGTTTAAGTGTTCATTTCTAAAATAAATCTTATTAAAAAATAAAAAATTGTTTTGCTTTTATAAACGATGACATTCTGCGACTACGAAAGTCTCTTTAACAAATTTAAATATAAAAATGATTAAAATTAATGCATTTAAAAGATAAACAAAATTTCGTTAAAAAAAAAAGTTTTAAAAAACCGTTACAATTTAATAAGTTTGATCTTAAAAGCTTTTATATTAACGAAATGCTTTTAATGAAGTAAAAAAAAAACACTTCTAATTTATAAAATGTTTTTTTATTTTATTTATATGACTATGTATATATATTTTTATTAATCACCCGCTGTAAATTATTATAAAGGTAAATTATTATAAAGTTACATTTTTGACAAGAAATAAGTTTTTATTTTGGAATATGTATTTCAAGAATTTCTTTGAATATTTTCCTTTGCTCCAATGAGTTCTAGAACTAAATTGCATCGCTTAACTTTTGAAGATCTTTTTTAGGAATTGTATTTCTTAACACAATAATTTTTACTTTTTTTTTGTTTTGGATTAAGCTCTCTAGGCTGAGTTCATTCCGATTGCATAGACCTATGACATCATCTAGAAAACCTATGACATCATCTAGAAAAGACCTATGACATCATCTTGAAAACCTATGACATCATCTAGAAAAGGGTGCTTAGCGGTTTGGTTTTTAAACTGCGAGTTTGCAATACAGAGGTTGTTTTATTACTCTAAAATATGCGAATAAATAAGTTTAACTTGTTTTGCTGTACAATTGTTGCCCGGTGGGAAGTCGGCTAGCGAATAGCTAGCTATAATCGTTACGATAAAGACAGCGATTTGGTCACGAGGATCGCTAGCTTTTTAAAGTTAGCAAAAAGCTATCGATATTTGTAAAGACAAAGACAGCGATTTGGCTACGAGGACAGCTAGCTTAATAAGCTAAAGACTCACAGGCTATTGTAGCTACCGTCATATCGTAATAAAATCGCTATCAAAAAAATTTTGGTATGTAGCTATCAACCAGCTATAGATTTGTAGATATTTTGTAGCTAGCTAAAAAGCTACGATATGTAGCTAGCGACACATTGCTACAAAATCGCAATGTTTAAAGTTCAATTATTCTCATAATTAAAATAGATTCAACACTAAAAATCGAATTTTTAAAGATGTTAGAGACATTAGTAAAGAATAAAATAAGAAAAAAAAAATCGCTTGAAAATCGCTATAAAGCTAGCTATTCGCTTGCTAGTCGCTAGCTCATTTCCCACCGGGTGATATATCTTGGATGTAAAACAAAGAATGAGTATAATTTTTGCTGTGTTTGGAAACATTGAAGAGTGACTTAAGTGCATTCCTCCCTATTATATCAAGCTTTTGCATTAGTACGTCTTTATAGTCGCAAAGTTCAAGACCATACGTAAGCATCGGAACCGCCAATGTTTTATATAGCTGGACGATAGAGCTTGGATGAGCAAAGCAGATTGTAGACTGAATAAGAGTTTTAATTATTGCCCTGAATTTTGATATTCTATTATCAATATTTGAATGATTGATGAGGCAAAAGAAGAGCTTTTAGTATCCCATATAAAACCTAGATGATTAAGTTTATCATCCAGTTTTATTTGTTGGTGGTCGATTGTTATCGTGCAGTTTGCAATTTGTTTTTTTCCAGTAAACAAGAACTCGGTCTTATTAGCATTCAACTTAATACAATTTGCGTTAGTTACAAGCTGCTGTAAGCTTTTTTATTCCAGACAGGGTAGAACTAAGAAGAATGATTTCATCAGCGTATACTACAACATCTGTGTAATTTGTACAACACTTGTGTAATATGTTTTTTTATGAGAAACATTTAACTTTTGAACATATTAAATAAATAAAAAATATATAAAAATGTTAAAACAATGATTGAAAAGGTTTTTTAATGCGTAAATTAAATAGACTAAGCATTTTAGTTTGATGAGTTTTGTTTTAGTTGCGTTATATATATATATATATATATATATATATATATATATATATATATATATATATATATATATATATATATATATATATATATATATATATATATATATATATATATTTGTGTTTTTGCTTTAACTAACTTTTTTTTTTTTTTTCTCTTTCGTTAATATTTATTATTTTTTTAAATTTTTTTTTCAGGTAAGTTTAGGTAAGTTTTTGTAGCGATTTTTTAATTTTAAAAATATGCCGTGGTCAAATTGTTAAAACATTTTTTTTTTTTGCGTGGTCATATAAAGACATAAAATCGCACGTCTTTCTGTGAAAGCCTGAAGTACACTGTCATTGAGAATTTTTTTGACTGTAATTTTAAATTCTTGTCGATGTTATGATAAACGCACTCAACTTGTTTACAGTAAAACAAGTTGATTGTTCCTTACTAGGGTTTTGTTTAGGTTTAATCTAAAAAATTTTCTAGAAAATACTTAAACCTCTCGTTTAATACATTATATATCACATTATTAGCTATGCAGTTTGAAACATATAAAGGCTATGAGAAAAGACAGGCCTCGTTAGGGTTCATTGGAGATGATTCTAATACTTTATCCGGAAGTACAATGACCTTTACAGAAATAAACCCTGATGAGAGTTCTATTTCAGCAAAACCTGTTAAAGAGACCAACAGTTTAAAACTCATCACGGAGCTTAGTAAGTTGTTTTTATAGCAAGTTAATTTTTGTAATGTTCTTATAGTTAGAAATAGTGTATCACATAAGTAAATAAAGAAGTTTAATTTGTTCTAACTTATAAATAAAGATGAAGTTAAAAAAAATTAAATAATATAGTTAAAAAAATATAAATAAATTAATGAAAAATGGTTAAAACTAAGAAAAAACAATTAATTTTCCTAAAGTTTACAATACAAACGCGATGTTTTTGGATCAAGATGATATGAATATTTACGATGATGAACATTTTTACTTAACTCAACCTTATGCATGTGGTTCAATATTTACAGTTTCTGTACTTGACTCATTGGTTAGTGCGGTAAGTTTTAATTTTTTTTAAATTGATTTGAAATGATTTACTTATGATTATGATTACAACTAAAGTATAATATTGTAATATACAGTTCATAAATTTACCCAACTTTTCTTAGTATATTTCTAACCGTAACGTCCACTAATCATATCGTCGCAAAAATAAATTTTTACTACATGCCTGAAAATTGTGGTAATACATGAAGCTCAGAGTTGCAATATTAAATTATATTATAAACATTAGCACTTAGCTAATTCCTGGTACTGCGGGTTACTGTAACAAATATACTATATAGCTCTAGTTTATCTATTGAGCACTCTTTTAAGTTTACAATATTATACATGATAATATAAAGATATTTTCTTTATTTATGTATAAACACTTACGTATATATATATATATATATATATATATATATATATATATATATATATATATATATATATATAGCTTGTTCTTTTATTTAGACATACTTTAATGGCGATATTTTGACTATTGTTCAAAATCTTGTAACAGGAAGTGTCAGCTCGGAACTTGATGAACTCATGGCAGAAGGAATAAGTCCATCTGGATCGTGGGAAACCTTAGAAATTGCTGCTGTTAGAAATAGGTGTCGCATAGCACAAGTTGATCTTTGTGACGGTCCACTTGCTGAATACGGGGTATCGTTTTATTAAAATTTTAGTTATGTCAATGCTTTTAAATAGAAATAGCCATATAATGGTTTGAATTTTTGTTTAGCAATGTGGAACGTTTGGCGATTTGTTTCTATACGCTTTGCGCACTTATAACATAATATGCTTGGGTTTATTCCGGCTACGTGATATACATCGACTGCGAACGAAGAGTACAAAAAGATATGTTATTACGTTTCCTGATTTTAATTTTATGCTTGCACCAACTGATCGCGTGTTTGTTTTAATGCAGTTCCACGCTTTGAAAAAAAAGAGAAAAAGTACTTTCGCTAAAGATTCTTCTTTTTTTTAAATAACTTGTCCGAAATATAAATATTTTGTATCTATAAATATGTTTTTAAATATGTCATATTGGCAAATCTTTTCTTCTAAGTTATTTACTGTTTTGTTTTTTTTGAATTATGAATTATATTTATGTATTTATTTATATTTTACATTATGTTAAATATTTATATATAATTAGATATTTATATGATTAAAGCATTTTATTAAATCAAAATTCATTACAATTCTAAATTTAAATTTTTTGGCGTTTTTTGTAGTTTATAACTTAATGAACACTGATGTCTTGCAAACCTTTAGGACCATAGACCATTTTCAAATTTCAATAATAAAATTATAACATGAATCGATATATCAAGAATTTAGCTTATCGATATATCAAGAACTTAGCTTATCAATATTTCAAGAATTTAGCTTATTAGACACTAGATAATCGGTCTCGATTTCTCGTCTGGTGTCGGTACGATACCATACAATATCGGTATCACGCGATACTGTTATCGAAATCACGCAATACTGTTATCGAAAGTATCGTTAATGTTGGTATTGTTTGTTACGGTTTGGTATCGCTGCGATACCTTACAGTATCGATATCGAGATCACTCGATACTGGTATCGAAAGTGTCGGTTATGTTGGATCATTTAGTCTCGATGCGATATCGAGATCGCGCGATACTAGTATCAATAGTTATATCTTTTGTTGGTATTGTTTTGTACCGATATTATCATTTGGTGTTGCAACTCATGTCATCATGACAACTTGCATTTTATTTTTATCGACGATTAATAATTTGAATTAGTAAATTTGTATAATAAATGAGATGTATATAACTGACTCATTTATTATAAAAAAAATTCTCAAAGATGGTTGAACGACATCATGTTTATATTTGTTTTAATTTAAATAATTGTGTGGCATCACTTCTGCATTTTAATTTCTTATCTATTATTGTTATTACAATTTTTTCTATCGCGATTAAAAGGAAAGAAAAGATTTTATTTAACATTTATTTCTACATTGAATTATTACAAATAATTAAATTATGTTAAACAGTGTGTAAAAGGCAGACAAAAAGGAAAGGAAGGGGCGGTATTCGGGGTTACTACTCACCCCCCCCCCCCCCCAAAAAAAAAAAAAAAAAAAAAAAAAAATTGAAAAAATACAAAAAATTGTTCTTCAACATTTTATTATTTTTCTCAACAACAAAAAAAAAGTATTTATATAACTATTCAATATATTTATTAGCAAACTATCTTATAACCTTTCTAAAATCATTCTAAATGATCAAATGAAACAGTTTTAAAAAAAACGTATATCATATTTAACTTTTTCTTTGGTCGGACTACCCCTTCCCTCCCTCTAGAACAATGACCTGTATCCGCCCCTACTGTGTGTAGTTTCTCATATGGTTTCGTTGAACTCTATTGAATTTTTATTCCATTCAGGAAAAAATTTTCTAACAAATTATTAGAATTTCTTTATTTGAAATCAGCATGATTTTATGAGCGTATTATGTCCAAACAAAAGCTTTAGATGTTATAATTTTTTTGCTTTAGATACTTTTAGTATTTGAAGAAACTTTTCTTTTTTATACATAATTTCCAAAACTTTTTTTGTATTCCTAGTACTGAATCTAAAGAACACAATTTTGAAGTCTTTAGATCACTTGCGCTCATCGGCGTTAACATTTTTTAAATCTTTTGAAAAAGTACCATAATTTTCTATAGATCCTAGTTCTAATCTATAATAACTTTATAGCATGAATTTTTTTTTTTTTATCCATTTATTTAGCCATAAAATTAAAAATTACAAATTTAATTATAATTTACAAAGTTACGTTCGGTGTCACTCATATAGTTAAAAACTAGTCAATGGAGTGACACCTTAATAAAATAAACAAATAAAATGAGCAAAAAAATTATTAAAACAAACAAATAATAAAGAAAGTAAACTACATTAATACAAGTAATAAAAAAAGAAGTAATAAGAACAACAATATTTAAAAAGTTGGAATCAGAACAAAAATATAAAAGAGTAAGGGTAAAAAAAAAGAAAAAAAAAACGAGAATGAACGGATGAGTGAGAAAAAAATGTAAGAAAAAACAAAAATTTTAATTACATGAGTTTAAAAGGATAGAGTGAGACAAAAAAATTTTTGCTGAAAAATATAAAAAACAAAAATAAAGGCAAACTTAAATAAAAAAAAAAGTTTATAGGGAAAAGCGGGGCAACATGGCGAATGTTTTGAAAGCCCTGAGTTGTTGCAAAACTATAAGTCGTGAAGCCATAATACTTTCTCAGTTTATGTTATTAAATTCTTTCATTGCCTCCATGAATTTTTAGTTTTCAAATATAACAATTTGAAATAAATATTATTATTTTTTTTTATTTTTTTTTTTTATTATTATTATAGTTGTAGCCGTAAATTTACATAGAATGTACACATACAGCGAGCAGGGGAAACACCCCACTATAAACAACCAGTTTTATAAATATTTGTTCCAAACTTTTTCCACAACCAGGAGTCTGGTTTATTTTTGAAAGAAAGTACAGTGGAGTACAAAGTTATTTGCTCTGGTAGATTGTTCCAGTATTTTGCTGATCTATTATACAAATGATTATATCTTGGAAGACAGTTTAGAACATACTCACGCCTTATTTTAGAATGGTGACCACGAGACACGGAGTTAATATATTTTGGTAGATATTTATCATTAACTATATCAAAAACGATGTATTAATTTAAAAATTTGGATTAAATCGCATCGAAGGCGTCGAAACTCAAGAGATGGTAGGTTTAATCTTTTTAGCCTTTCGCAGTATTGAAGATGCCTCAAGCTGTAAGCCCATTTTGTAGCTTTGCGTTGAACAGATTCAACCAAAGCCATATCAGCTTTTAAAAAAGGAGCCCAAATGGACACTCCATATTCAAGATGTGGTCTTATAAATACTTTATATAATTTGAGAGCCGTTTTTTCATCAATGAAAGTGAATGTCTTTTTCAGCATACCGAGAATTTGTAGGGACTTAGAGACAACTGTTTGAATATGAGCGCTCCACTTGAGGTTAGATGTAAAAATGACTCCTAAATCACGTTCTTTAGTAGAGCTTCTTAGAGATTGGTTGATTCCTTGGTTATTTTGAAGAAAGTAATTGTAATGGGGATTGTTTCGACCGTAATGAATGACGCAGCATTTTGAAGTGTTTAGCTTAAGTAACCAAGTGTTTGACCACTCGTATACCAAGCGTAGACGATCCTGCAGATCAACAAAATTAGATTGCGATAAGGTTTTAGAAAAAAGTTTAGTATCATCGGCAAATATCTCAGAAGTTTCAGTGAGTTTTGCGAGATCATTTGCGAGAACATATTAAAATAAAAAGTTCATAAATTTGTCATCTGGTCACGTGACCGGGACAAGATGACTTATGGAATTTTTACCTCCAATTTTATAAAAATTTTAAAACTACCAATAACTCTAACTAAAGTAACAAAAAATAAACACAAATTGCAAAAAACTACTTCTAAAGAAGTTAAACTTGAAGGGCACCAACCATTATGAGAAACCGAAAGTAAGGAATTTTTTTTTAGGCGCTAAAAGTAAACTTTTGTGTATAAAATTGCGTTAATAATATTTCAAAAAGCCAATTAGTGTTTTAAAATACAAGATACAAATACAGTTTTGTTTTCACCCAATTTTAAGAATTTTTGTTGAGTTATTATATGAAAACCCATGTTGCCCCATTCCCGCTTTCCCCTGCATACGCTACTACATACAATATCAAAGTTTATATTATGCCTTTTATAGATTAACTAGACAAAAGTAAATATCGATAAGTAGATAAAAACAATAGTAAAGATATATAAAAAGCAACAACAACTAAATTGTCAGAAAAAAATGCAAAAAAATACATTCAACAATTTTTATATGCATAAATACACGACTTATAAACTATGTACAAAATTAATTAAAATAGTTTTTTTTCTTTTCTTTCCATAAAATATTGGCGGCAGCAAAAATTATTTTCCATTTTCGGAGACTATTTTCTTTTAACTTTGTTTTTATTTGTTTCGATGTTTTTTTCTTGTTTATTATTTTTATTTATCTAAATCCTTTATTCTTGTTTATACACTTATTTTTTAAACTTTTATAACCAAAATGTTTTTTGATTTATTTTAGAGAGCCTATATACTCAGAGAGCGGACATACGGAAAATACGGAAGAACGGCGGCCATATTTTTGCCAAACATTCACGAATTCAAGTAAAAACAATTGAAAGAAAATGAGCACAATAATATTTTAAACAGAAATATATTTTTAAAAATTAAACCTTTTTATGTTTTATTTTTACAAAATTATTTTTCGACAAAATTATTTATTTATTTAGGAAATACCTTTAAAAAAAAACACAGCAAAAAAGTAGTTGTAATCAATAAGTAATTTGAAAAAAGCTTTACAGTTTATTTTATAAATTAGTATATTAAACAGAAATATATTTTTAAAAATTAAACCTTTTTATGTTTTATTTTTACAAAATTATTTTTCGACAAAATTATTTATTTATTTAGGAAATACCTTTAAAAAAAAAAACACAGCAAAAAAGTAGTTGTAATCAATAAGTAATTTGAAAAAAGCTTTACAGTTTATTTTATAAATTAGTATATTAAACAGAAATATATTTTTAAAAATTAAACCTTTTTATGTTTTATTTTTACAAAATTATTTTTCGACAAAATTATTTATTTATTTAGGAAATACCTTTAAAAAAAAAAAACACAGCAAAAAAGTAGTTGTAATCAATAAGTAATTTGAAAAAAGCTTTACAGTTTATTTTATAAATTAGTGAAACCTAAACCTTTAGTGCAAATGCATGCATTGTCATACTCTTGCTGCAAAGTTCACAAGAACTTTTTTTAGTTTTTTTCTTTTTACATAATAAACGCTTTTTTTTAAGGTTAAATATTTTAAGTCTGAATGTTATAAACCTGTTTTTTAGCTTCAATTTAATTTGATGACAACTAGGATACAAAGTTAGACTTTTAACTTGTTCATCAGAATTAACTTTCTCTAAAAGCATAGTATTGCAATTCTTTTGGGAATTAAGGTATGGCTCAAATGATCTGAATATTAACTCCATTTGTAAAAAGAATGCAAATGTTGTTTCACTAGCAAAAAATAAACTACCCACTTTGTGCTCTTTGTCTGTAACAAACTTTGTGTAATCAACTCTATTTTTAGAAACTAGAGATTGTGCAAAACAATTTGTCCAAACTTTTTAAATTTTTTTAACTCTAGAAATTATATAACCTGCAATATGAAACAAACAATTTTGCTCAGCATTACTTAAGATTAAGTTAGAGGTTTTATCCCAATCTTTAGGTAAAAAAATGCACTCTCTTTGCTGTGGTTTATGCACATTACTATTAACTATATCAAAAAAACCAGATAAGAATTGACGGTCATCTATATCATAACTGCCTTTTGATGATTTTTTCAAGAATTGGGCAACGCAAATAAGCTTCAAGTCATTTTTAAATTGAAGAGCAGTAGGAATTACTTGTTTTGCACGTACCAGGGAAAAAAGATTCTCCAGGCAATCCTGCGTAAATCGTGATGTCATTAGAAAATCAAACTTTTTTTCTAGAAGAAACTTATTTTGCAAGTTAATAACTGATGTTGTTGATAATATAACACCAGATTGAATAGGTTTCCACCTTATTTTTTCAGTTTGGCCTAATATTTTTAAACCATTGAATATCTCTATGACTTCATTTTAAAAAGTTATTGTTTCATTGTAACCTTTGTCATTTTTCATGCTAAGAGCCATACCTGGGTTTCGTGAAGTCATTATTGTAAACCATTTATCAACAATTCCTATAAACCGAGCAGTTGTGAGAATAGAATCATCTTTTATTTCACTTGCAATAAATTTTAATCCACAACTTACATCATGATTCATTACAGATGTTGCTCTTGATACTTTCATTTTGTTGAAATGTTTTTCATCAAGATGTTCAGATGTAAGCTTGTAAGCAAACTTCAAAATCCACAAACTTACATCATGATTCATTACAGATGTTGCTTTTGATACTTTCATTTTGTTGAAATGTTTTTCATCAAGATGTTCATATGTAAGCTTGTAAGCAAACTTCAAATCCATACCTTCTTGAAAGTCTACAAGCTTGTTAAGGTGTTTTGAATCTATAATTGGCGATTGAACTTAATATTTTTCTTGAATCTTAGCTGTTATTATAAAATGTTTGTTACATAAAAGAGATGTTCTTATATTCTTTAATAAACGTGGTACGTCTGCTAAAAAATCAATTGTACGAGTAGGGTCACATGGGTGTTAAATTGAACTAGAAATACTGCCACTTTTAGTACAGCTAATATTAAAACATTTCCACATTGCCTGGTTAATGGCACCCATATCAGAAGTAACACAATTAACTTTTAATCCTATTTCTTCAGTATACTTTATTATAGATAGGACAATGTTTTTTAAAACAGAACTTCCAGTATAATAATATGCAACAGTTTGTTTCCATCTTGTAGATATTCCTCCAAGCATAAAAACTAAAGCATGGTTAGCTTGGCCATAATGTTCAGGTAATGTAACAACTCCATAGTAAGAGCTTGTAGATGTGTCATAGTCAACACTTTCAGTTATTGACATTTCATCAAGAATTAAAACACATTCTTTTTCATGGATTTTCATGGCATTCACCTTAGTTTTCATAAACTCAAAGACTTCTGTTAGAATGCCACTTTGAAATTTTAGATTTTCTAATCTTCGTCGTAGGGTACGTAATGATGGGTATGGTAAGTTTAAACGAAGTAAATTTTCATAACCACTTTGACCACATGTAAATTTGAGTTCTAACGCTTCATTTATAGTACCATTTGACCATTTAATGAATTTCATATTTTTTCTACTTAAGGATAAAATTTGATCTTCTTTAAATATTGTTTTCAAAACTCTAAATTTATCTCTCTTTATATGATTATATTTTTGAATAGTATTTATTCTTGCTTTCGATTTTAAAATGTTAATTTTTTTTTTTTTTGATTAATGACTTTTTTGTTCTAATCTCTCCAATTTCGCATTTAAATCTTGTATAAGTAAATTCAGTCCACAACTTCTCCTCTTTCTATACAACTTATTTTCTTTTTTTTTTGGTATTGGAAAACGCTCGAGTGGATTTTTTCGCTTATGTTTTGCTCTAACATGTTTAAAGACAGTAGGAATTGCATTATGTTTGAGTTTTCTTGATCCATCATTTCTGGTTTTTTCCCATTGATCAGCATCAAAGTGTACCTTAATAAAAAATTGAACGAATATAATGTATTTGTATGGATTCTAAAATAACTCATTTCTAGGATTAATTACATAAAACTGTATTTTCTTATGCTTACTTCACATAAAAAGCTTGTGTTTGTAGGTACCCAGTTAAGTCGTTTAACTTTAGAAGTCCAAATCGCCCGTTGTTTTTCATTTTTTGGGAAGCATTTCATAATAAATCCTTTCTCAGGCCTGTTATGGCAGCCTACTGCAGCACAACCAGGCATACTTTTACAAATATTTAATTCAAATACAAATTTAGTAGTAGACTTTAATCGCAGTTAGTATTTTTGGCAAAAAGATGGCGTCTAAAATCATAAAAATCGAACAACCAATCAAAAACGATCACACGTATGTCCGCTCTCTGAGTATATAGGCTCTCTACTTTTCATTATTCACAGACTTGATCATTTAACGGACATATGTCGTCGTCAACAAAATATCATACAGATGCTATAATATTTTAAAATTTCCATACTATAGTTAGGAAATTTTAAAATATTATAGCGTCTGTATGATATTTTAAAATTTCCTTACTATAGTAAGGAAATTTTAAAATATTATAGAGTCTGTATGATATTACTATAGTAAGGAAATTTTAAAATATTATAGTGTCTGAATGATATTACTATAGTAAGGAAATTTTAAAATATTATAGCGTCTGTATAATATTACTATAGTAAGAAAATTTTAAAATATTATAGCGTCTGTATGATATTACTATAGTAAGAAAATTTTAAAATATTATAGCGTCTGTATGATATTTTGTTGACTACGACATATTTCCGTTAAATGATCAAGTCTGTAAATTATGAAAAGACAAAAAAAATAAAATAATAAAATTTGCAGTAGTAGTACTACACCGAGAAGGAAATAGTTTTGCAATCATTAAAGAGAGTTTTTCATATAATTCTCCAAAAAGAATTGTTTGTTATGCAATCGTAAACGATTATTCTGAACGAGTATGAGAAATGATTGTTGAAAGGAATTTCGTAACAGTCATTACAGTTATTTAAATTTAATTAATTGTGTGATATCGCATCCATATTTTATTTTCTCATCTGGTATCGTTACATTAATTAAATCTCTCGTGGTATCGTAATTCTCGCCTTGTCTTTCGTTCTGTGTTCAACATTCAACAACTAAACTTTAGTTTCAAATAATTAAACATAATTATACTTTAGTTATTAAGCAAAACTAATCTTCACACATGCCTTTTACAACATCTTTAATCTGGGATTAATTTAAGAAATAATATAAATTTTAAACTGAACCGAACTGTTAAAAATTGCCAAAATTATTCCTATTTTTAAAGAAGGGGACAAATCAATTATTAGTAACTATCGCTCTATTTCTGTTCTTTCCACATTTTCAAAAATTTTAGAAAGAATTATATTTAACAGAGTATACAAATATTTTCATGTTAATAAATAACTTAACATTAATCAATTCGGTTTTAAAAAAGATAGCTCAACTGAACATGCAATTATCCAATTTGTACGTGAAATCTCAAAATCATTTGAAAAATCACAATATACTCTAGGACTTTTTATTGATCTATCAAATAAGCCTCTAAACTAACAAGTATTATGTTTGCAGATGATACTAACTTATTTCTTTCTAACAGTGATATCTTTGAACTTTTTAAAACAATGAACAAAGAGCTTTTACATGTATCGAGTTGGTTTAAATGTAATAAGTTAACTCTAATTTCTAATAAAACAAACTTGACCTTATTCCATTCGCTTTCCAAAAAACGGTATTTGCCATTAAACTTACCTAAAATTTTTATTGATCAAAATGAAATAAAAAGGGATTCCGTAACAAAATTTTTAGGTGTTTATCTTGATGAAAACATCACTTGGAATCATCATATCGATTACATAAGCACTAAGATTTCAAAAAACATTGGAGTTTTATATAAAGCACGAATCTACCTCAATAAAAAAATTTTAATCAAACTTTATTATTCATTTATACACAGTTATTTAAATTATGCTAATATCGCCTGGTGTAGTACAGAAAAAAGTAAGTTGCAACGTCTTTATCGCCGTCAGAAACATGCTATCCATTTAATCTGCTTTGCAAATCGCTTTTCTCACGCAAAACATTATTTTATTGAAATGAGAATTTTAAATATATACGAGCTAAATATATATAATGTTTTATGCTTTGTATACATGTGGAAAAATGACTTGTCTCAATCTGTCTTCAAAGATATTTTTACTCCGAAACCCATCAACAAATACAATTTGAGAAATACTGATTTTTTAAATGAACCTTTCTGTCAAACGAACTTTAATCAATTTTGTATTGCCTATCGTGCACCACACCTTTGGAATAAAATTGTTTTGCGCAATTTTGACTTCGAACTACCCATTACTTTTCGTTTTTTTAAAAGTTAATTAAAAACCCTAATTTTTTTATTAGAAGACGTATTATGTTATTATTAATAATATAAATTAATAACTTTGCCTTTTCTTATTTATATTTGTAAAAAGTTTATTCTTACTTATTTTTTTGATTTTATATTCTTTACTTAACGTATACGTTTATATAAAATATTGGTGGCTAGATCCGCGTGATCTCTCTTTGGATTATATAATATATATTTAGATTATATATATATGAAATTTGTAAAAATTTGATACTGTTAATGCTTGTTTGAACTTATTTAAGGTTCTGACGACAAGATCCTTTGATCTTCTTTCAGATACCTTATTTTATATTTGTGAAAGTTTATTATTATTATCATTATTTTTTTTTTGGCAATATATAGTTATAATACGACCAACAAATGTAAAATTAAAAAAAAAAAAAAAAAAAAAAAATTAACTTATTGTTTATAAAAATAAAAATGCAAGTTCTCATGATGACCCGAAATGCAATACCAAATGATACTCTCGGTACCAAAACAATACCAACATAACCGATAACTTTTTTGATAATGGTATCGCGTGATCTCGATATCAATACAATATCAATAATTTTGATAATATGTATCGCGAATAGCCCAGACCAAACAATTCCAATACAAACAATACTTTTGATGCTAGTTTTGCGTGATTGTGATATTGATACTGTAAACTATTGTACCAAGATACTTTAGACACAAGTATCGCGTGATCTTGATATCGATACTGCAAGGTATTGCAGCAATACCAAACGATACCAAACAATTCCAACATAAACAATACTTTCAATACCAATATTGCGTGATCTTGATATTGATACAGTAAACTATTGCACCAAGACCAAACGATACCAACATAAACAATACTTTAGACACAAGTATCGCGTGATCTTGATATCGATGCTGTAAGGTATTTCAGCGATACCAAACGATACCAAACAATACCAACATTAACGATACTTTCAATACCAGTATCGGTTGATCTCGATATTGATACTGTAAGATATTGCAGCAATACCAAACGATACCAGTATAACAGATTTTTATGATACCGATACTAGTAGGTATAGACCGATACCAGACGATTTATCGAGACTCGAGACCGATAATATAGAGTCTAATAAAAACACAGAACATTCATTAAAATAAACATGTAGAAATCATAATTTTCAGATTATAATAATAATAATAATAATTAAAAAAATATATAAACAAACAACAAAGTACTGATGATAGTTGTAATAATGACGAATAGAAAATAAGGAGAACATTTGAATAATAAAGATAACAATGCCTAAAAGTTAGTATAAAATATTTTTTAGAACATAATTTAATTGATTTTGTTTTTTTTAATTTTAAGCTTCAGTTTTTTGAACGAATTTAAAACGCATAGAAGGCTTCTGTTCCATTCATAGCCGCACTGATATACAATAGGTAGTTTACCATACTTCTGGGCATTTAAAGGTTAAAATGTTGAGTCTTTTGAAGGACTCGGGTGAATCTGATTTAAATGGCTGACAGTTTACTATTCTAATAGATTAACGTTGATACGATAGCAAATTGTTAATGCGATAGTTTCCAACTTTACCTCAATTTTGACAACAACTAAGATGAGATGAAAATAATACATAGCACAAATTTTTAAGGTGGTTGCCCAAGAAATGAATCTTGATTTTTTTTGAATTTTTTTTTAAATGTTTTTATGAGCAGAAATTTATCCTCTTTAAAATGGTATATGAATCTCATTAATATAATTTATTTAAAGTCTTTTATTTCTCATTTTTATAAAGTGGTATATAAGGTTTTTCTTTACATTTTTGTTTTTGACATTTTTCTTCATTTGTGATTTCAATTGAAGTTGAATGAAAAAACAATCAGCTCAATGCAAACCTATTATGGAAAAGCTATAAGAAACAACTTAAACAATGTCTATGCCATGAAAAAAGCAATTGACTCAGTGTTGTTTCACTGTACTGCGTTTACCGATGAGAAGCACCGGCATAGAATGTGTCCACGCGATGACACTTTTTGGTGCAAAAGGCAGTTAAGACTAATAAGCCAAAAATATTCAAAAACACCATAAGTTTACAAATGTCCGTTCATTACCTTTTAAAACCGATCTTTTTAAGTTTATCAGACGATGAGTTATTGAACACATGCGTTCACGGGCAAACTCAAAACACTAATGAATCGTTTAACTTAGTTGTATGGACTCGATGTCCCAAAAATATTTTTATTGAACGAAGAACAATTAAATGTTCAATTAACTCAGCTATTTTACATTATAATAATGGGAGTTGCGGGGTGAATGCAGTTTTAGGACATTTTGGATAACATGGGATGCGATTTTGGCTAGAATGGAAAAGCAATCGAGTCCAATCGTTAAAAACCCAAGAAAAAGATTAAGAGCTGTCAAAAAAGGGTACATGGATAAAGAGAATGAAAGTGAAAAGTATGAATCTTACGCTGCTGGTGGTTTTTAACATCTTTTTCTTATTATTTTAGACAAAAACTTGATTTTCTTATGTCTATGGTTTTACATAACTTTTAATAACTTTAAAACATGATATTTCAAGATTGAATAGATTAAATAAGTTTTCAGGAATTACTCATATATTATATATAATCGATACATCATTAGTGGCGTAGCTACTTAGAGCCTACGCGGGGCAGTGCCCCGGGGCCCTCGTTTTAAAATAATGGTAGGCCCAACCTTTATATAATAGACCCTTAAATCTTCTCTATTTCGTTTTATTAGCCAAACCTACACTAAGTATTAATTGTAATTTATGTTGTTACTGTTTAATATTTTTGTTACCTACCCTGCAGTGCACAAAAAAGAGCTTAAGTAGCTTAGCATTTTTAAATTATTTGTAAATTTCATATTTTTATTTGATAAAACCTAATCAGTTTACATAGCAATGGGGCCCTATTTTTTAATTTGCGCCAGGGCCCTTGGTTACCTAGCTACGCCACTGTACATCATAGGCTTTTTTCTTTATTGAGGTAAAAAACTTTTTAATTTGTAAAATTTATACAAATAATACTATGTTTTAAACACTATTTTTACTAAAAGAGGCTTTTGACTATGTGTGCCAATCAAAAAAGTGATATGTCAAATGGATTTTACTATCATGCTAAAAATTTGAAGTAGTAACTATCATCATATCTGCAGATATTGTGTTTTGAAATATTGTATTTTTTTGTCTCATTTTAGCGTTAAAATGTGGTGATCAAGGCAAAAAAATAGTTTGATGTGTTTGAACTATTTTTTAAGTTGAGACCTGCCATATATACCAAAGTTTAGTTGATTAAATTCACAGGGTCAAAAAAAAGTTTATTTCTTGGCCAACCCCCTTTAATGTAACTTTATCGACATAATGACGAGTTATTAAAAGCATACCAAGGTATTATTAAACCAATATAATTCTTATTATCTTGGTTTTAATGCAGTTTAAAGTTTAAACAATTACTTTCTTCAATTATAATCGAAGAAAGTAATTGTTTTAAACTTTAAATTGCATTAAACTTTAAGCAAAATTTTGAACGCCTTTAAGTAAAGTAAGTGCGTAAAAAGTAATCATAATTTTTTAACGTTCGTTATCCTGTTTAATTTTAACAAACGTTCGCTCGGCTATTTTACTTAATTTTTATAATAAAAAGTAGTGTAATGTTAGTATTAGTAAAATCAGTGCTCGTAAACAAAAGCAATTAAATTGATTAAATGTGTTCATTTTCAGAAACTTTTAACAGATATGGGAAGAAGCTATAAAACTGGAGCTGCAAAAAGAAAGAAAAAAGCAATAATAGAAGAAAACATAAAGAAACATCGAAAACTTGATAGTTTTTTATTAAAAACAGAATGTCATGCTAATTCACCAACTAATGCTAATCTTGCAAATAGCGGCATAAGAAGAGAAGCAAAAATAATGGATTTTTTAGAGGACTCAATTAATGAAATTCAAACTTTAAACAAACAATCGGAACTCAATAAGGAGAGGTTATGTTTCCCTATCGATTTGCCATTGAATAGGAAAAGTGATCCAGGACTTTAGGAAGCTCTTTCAGCTGAGGATGTATAATTTTGGATAGAACGGTCCGTTAAAATGTCAAATGCAGATTATGACTTTAAGTTCTCTAAAATGACGTATCAAAATCGTGATAGATATTGCTCAAAAAGCTTGTTTGTGGGGAAAAAAGTAAATGGTGAAACGTTTAATGTTAAAAAGTTTAATGGGATATATATTCCCCAGCTTTAGGTTGTTTATTCTGTTTTGTTTGCAAGCTTTTTGAACCCTTAAAACGTGCTTTAGCTTCAACGGGATATAAAGATTGGAAAAATTCAGGAGCATCAATTCAGGGGCATGAGCTTCTGATGAGTATCAGACTACAGAAAACCTTCCTTAGCATACTTTCTCAGAAAAAATAACAAGTTTTTTTTTAAATGATCAACTTCTAAACGAAATTCACAAAAAAACTGGAGAGAGGTTCTAAGAAGAGTTACTGCTGTAGTATCCACACTGATCGAAAGAAGCTTAGCTTTTCGAGGTTCAAATGAAAAATTTGGGTCTGAGAGCAACGCGAATTTTATTGGTCTGCTTGAGTTGATTGCACAGTTTGATCCTTTATAGGCCAAACACATAAAAAGTAATGGTGACAGCGGTTCTTGAAAAACAAACTACGTCTCAAAAAATACATGTGATAAATTAATTATATTGATGGCAAGAAAAGTTTTGCAATCAATCAGCGACGATGTTTTAAAATCTAAGAATTATGGATTATCAGTAGATTCAACACCTGATGTGAGTCACAAAGATCAACTATGTTCGATCTTGAGGTACATTGATCAAATTTCTAATAAGTCTAGTGAATGATTTGTCAACTTCATCTACATCTATAATCACACCGGGGAAAATTTAGCAAACGCAACCGTGTAATTTTTAAACGTAAAATTGAACTTGGAAAGCAGCAACTGCAGAAGCCAGTCTTATGATAAATCAAGCAATATGACTGAAAGATATAAAGGCATTATAACTAGAATTTAAGAGTTCAATAAACTGGCAAAACTCTTGCAATGTTCAGGTCATTCTCTTAACTTAGTAGGAGAGGCTGCTGTAGATTGCATTGAGGGAATCAATTTTTTTGGTGTTGTTCAAGAACTGTACAATTTTTTCTCTTTTTCTTCTACAAAGTTTTAGAGCGTTTTGGAACAGGTTGCAAGTAGTTCATTGAAATCACTATCGAATACTCGGTGGAGCGCTCATGCTGACTCGGTCAAAACCATTCACCGGAACTACAATATATTATGGAAGGATTAATCAATATCAATGAGAGTGAATGTTTTGAAACAAAAGCAAGAGCTGCGGCTGGAAATTTACTATCGAAAATGGAAACTTTTGAATTTACTTTACAAACAATAATATGAGATCGAATTTTGCAACGAATGAATGCTGTTTCCAAATCATTGCAAAGTGCAACTATTACTCTAGATACATGTGCTGAACTTTATTTATCTCTTAGAGATTATCTTCTTGAATTAATTAACACATTCAATTTAATAGAACAACATGCAAAATTACCAGACATAGATTATTTACAAAAGAGAAAATACCGTAATAAGGAAGCGCTTTTAGGTCAAAACCAATCAGAAGAACCTCAGTTAAGTCCACGTGAAGAGTTTAAGACAAACTTTTTTTAAAAAAGTATCAATAATCTTACTACAAATTTAAAAGAAAGAGCTATGCTATCAGGAATTGAATGACAAATTTGTATTTTTAATAGACACGACGTTCAACAAGAATAAGCTTAAGGCTTGTGTTAATCGTCTTGTGGAAGACTACACAGAAGATATTGATAATAATTTATATGCAGAAACTGAACTTCTACATCTGCATTTGAAAGAACATTTTAATACTCAAGTTCCTGAATCGTCTCGTTTGGATTTGTACAAACTTATAAAGGAAAAACAAATGGAAGCTGCATTTCCAAATACTGAAATCATTTTTAAGATTTTCATATGTTTCATGATATCCAACTGTTCTGAAGAAAAGTCATTTTCAAAATTAAAATTAACAAAAAATGATTTGCGTTCAAATATGTCACAAAAAAGGTTAAACAATTTCGCATTATTATCAAGTAACGCAGACAAAATGAAGTCAGTTAATATAGATTCATCGATTAACGATTTCGTTAATGAAAAATACAGAGTAAAGATTATGTAGATTTTAAAAAATAATTTAAAAAAATTGAAATAAAACCTTTAATTAAATTAAACTAAGATAATATTTTTTAAATTAACATTTTATTTCTAAATATGGGGCCGCAGGTTTTTTTGGCCTAGGGGTACCCAAAACTGTAAAGCCGTCTCTATTTGTATATATATATATATATATATATATATATATATATATATATATATATATATATATATATATATATATATATATATATATATATATATATATATATATATATATATATATATATATATATATATATATATATAATAATCCATTTAAGTAGATCACTGTCAACCTAGTAGATAACTATAAATCTGCAACACAGCTTTAGGCGCTCCTTCATCCAGCGAGCGCCTAGATGCGTTTATTTTATTGCAATTAAAAAGCAGCAGCAGGTTGTGAAGTTGCTCTTATAAAAGTTCGTGGTCACTTTGTCATTTGGGGAGTATAGTTAACGTCGCAAATTGAAAAAAGTGCGTCTATACTATAAGGGTGAGTTATATATATTTCTTTAATAAAGAAGTTTATGAAAATAAGGTTTGTTTATAAAGAAACTTTAAGCAGGTAATTAAAATCAAAAAGTTAGTTTTTTTGCCATATAAAAAGGCACACAGTTTATTCTTAATTGTAAATTTTAGAGAAAAATTTTTACTAATAGGGGAAAGAAAAAAGATAAAACATCAAAAAGACAAGACCAAGTTATTGGATTGCAATGATAAAAAATAGCACACAATAACGGGATTCAGCTTTTGGGACTGGAGCTAGGCTACATTCCAGAGCTTAACATGTTTTAAAAATATATCGACGTTTATAAAAAAAAAGTTGTTGAGCAGAATCTAACATCAGAGAAGTCATTTATAGAAACAATAAAGCAAGTTTGGACTACTTGCATAATTCCAGCATACTGTGGCAAATTAGTTAAATCTACGCCTGACCGTATAATAGCAGTGCTAGCAAATAAATTTTTTATTTGCTAGCACTGCTATTATACGGTTACAAAAAATAAGAAAGATAAAAATTAGATTAGAGCTTTAATACTTTTGTTTTCTAAGTAAAATAGTTAAAAGCGAATGGAGCCGGGTAGTACTGCTAACTGATAAATCAAAAAAAATTAAATAATAAGGAAAATTAAACGTATAAAGTTGACTAATTATTATTCTTAGCGCAGCACATAAAAAAACAAATTTTACACTCTACATTATATAAACAAATAAACCAGACATTAAGTAGGTGTTTTAAGTAAAAATAATACAAATTTTCATTTTAAGATTTTATATTTATATACAAGCAGTGTCTAATGTTAAAATATGAATTCGGAAACTTTCTGACGTTTAAAAGATTAACTTTGGTTTTAACAAGTGTTTTTTCCTTACAATAAGAAAGTAAACACACAACAAAGTTAACACTATATAAATTGCGGAAAATATTTCTACATATTCAAAGGTATAAGCAGCACTTGCTAAAGCTAACAAACATCCTGCGGAATACATTGAATTACGAATCCCGTCAACGAACGTTTGTACATTAGAATTCACAAGCTTTGCTAACGTGTCTGTAAGGTACACATCTGGGATAATTCCTGCTCCAGCAAAACAAATCATATATAAAACGCCTAAAAGTATATTAAGTAGTTTGATGTTAGCATGTTTTAGAAAAATAAAACTGGCGTCAACTAAACAAAGACCAAACAAACCCATAACTACAGCAACAAATAGTTTATTTTCAGAAACGGGTTTCCACATATACAGAAACAAAATGGCAACACTTGTTGCTCCTGTTCCAAAAACGCAAATATTTAATTCTAGAATTGATAGATGAAGTGTATCAATTATAAGTATTGGCAGCCACATATCAAATGTGACAAGAAAAAGCATAACAAAAAATGTGCAAAATAGAAGCAAAGCAGCATCTATTGAGGTGAATAAAAGTTTTAGCAACTTAAATATGTTAATGTAAGATGAAGAAGACCTTCCATTCATGTGCTTATCTTGTTTCATATAATCAACCAATGGTACAGTCTCATTGAAAGAATCTGAACTGTTGTTTGATTGGATAATTGCTTTTTGCAAATGAAGTTTTTGACTGTTTTTTTCTTCATGTGCTTTTAAGTCAAATTCTTTTGATAAATCGTGAACCATAGTCACACTCAAAAATAACATTATTGCGCTCAAAAAAGCCATAAAAAGTCCATTAAAATTATAAGTATTTAAATGCCATAATCCTATGTGAAAATCAATATAAGTAAACAGAAAGTTAACACCAGGACCCAAAATAAATCCAGCATTATATGTAACTGATAACAATGCTAGATTGTAACTTGTTTCGTCAGACGGATAACTGCGAACTATTTCTCCGCACATAACAGATCTTAAACCAGCGCATCCAGATATAAATCTTCCGGCAACTAGAAACCACGGAGAGAAATGAAAGCTGTATAGAAGATTTCCAATAACCAAGCATAAATTGCATATTAAAAATGTTAAACGAACATGACGAGTTTTATCAACAATTCTACCAATAATAGGAGTAAACAATGTCGATGAAAGCAAATATGATATGGACACCAAGGCGTAATAAAATTTTGGAGAGTTTGTGTTTATCATTTCTTTAATGTACAACCACAGAGTTAAAAATGTTAGCGTGTATTCTATTCCCAGGATGACACTCTGAACAGAAAATGCAATAGTTGTAGCTTTTCTTTTACCAATCCATTTATCATCACATATTATTTGAAAATCTTGTTTAGAATTTTGTTCCAATACCTAATTAAAAATATATAGAAAACTGTTTTATCAGTTAAAAACCATTAATTTAAAATTAAAAACAAAGGAGTCATTTTATTTATAGCAAAAATAAAATGAATGTTTTACTAGAAAATAAATTTATACTGTTTGTTACTCTAAAATACATGTGTAAGTCTTTTCTTTTTTTGATGCTTTGAAACAAAACAAAACATGGTTGAAGCTACAGAAAAACTTTTTATAAAAAAAAATAAGTCGCCTTCATTCTAAAACTAACATACAATATTATTTTATTTAATCTGATTAGAAAACTAATTGGACTAAAAACTCAACTCTACAGACTGGGGCAGTCTATAAAGTAAAATTTTTAGTTAAGCATTAAGCAGTTGTAGCAAGTGGTTAGAGCGCTTGCTTTAGAAACAAGATAGCCAGGGTTCAAAGCGAGCTACAACCATATTTCATTGGTATGGAAGGAGGCGTGAACTTCCTCGTTCAATTTTCTTCCTCGGTGCACTGTAATAAGACCTTTAGGTAAAAATGAAAAAAAAAAGTTATCACATTATGCTTTCTCCCATAAAAAATTAAAATGTATCAGCAATTTCTGGTAAAATTATGCATTTAAAACTCCTATAGATCTTTTCCTGCCTCTGCAATTTCACCGGATGAAATATCAACGTTACCGCGATAAAAATACATATGGTGATACTGCAGTAATGGCACGATGTTTTCACTCCACAAAATTACTACTGAACCCAACCAAGTATATATACAGTTAACTTTTTTTCTTTTTAGTGGTTTTAAGTCAGTTGTTTTACAACTTCCCAAGTAGCAAACAATATTGGCGTAATATTGGCACAATATTGGGTATCTTGGCTAATCTTGGCCAAGATATCCGATATTGCGCCAATATTGTCAAGCAATATTACGCCAATATTGTCTTACCAATATTGGCAAACAATATTGCGCCAATATTATCCGTTATAGTTTTACTAAAATTGTTATGCCAATAATGGTGAAATATATTGGCTTTATATTAAATTTTACATATTGGTACGCATGCGTAACATTAAGGAGTATTCATCATGTCCTTTAGTTTTGTTAAATGTGTTTAAATGTAAATAATAGCATCTTTTTACATAAACAAGCATCCTTATGTTATTAATTTTTTTACAAAAACAAATTAGAGTTCAAAATAAAAATTTTAATCTATGAAAAGAGAAGAAGTAGGAAAAGTATTTTTAATTCAACATTTACAGAGTGAATCAGGAGATGTGTTGGTAAATTATTTTGAAACAGATAGTATCACGAGAAGAAGTGGTAAGAGTAATAAAATTCTTTTATTCAACATTACGAATTGAATTACGAGAATAAGTGGTTGTAATTAATTTAAAACATATTGCATCACGAGAAGAATAGGAAAAATATTGCTATACTGAAGTATCAAGATTAAAATAGTAAGTTTACTCTTAAATGAAAACATTTTGAGAAGATTTCATCTATAAAATATAATTTTTATAGTCTATTTATTTTGCTAAAGATATTCGTTTAAGAAATAAATACGTCATTATTATTGTTTCTAACTGTTATAAAATATTAATTTATGAAAAAGGTACCCCTGCTTGACACGTAATAACATCAATAATGTATATATATATATATATATATATATATATATATATATATATATATATATATATATATATATATATACATATATACATATATATATATATATACATATATATATATATATATACATATATAAAAAAGGTACCCCTGCTTGACACGTAATAACATCAATAATGTATATATATATATATATATATATATATATATATATATATATATATATATATATATATATATATATATATATATATATATATATATATATATATGTATATATATATATATATATATATATATATATATATATATATATGTATATATATATATGTATATATATATATATATATATATATATATATATATATATATATATATATATATATATATATGTATATATATATAAATATATATATATATATATATATGTATATATATATGTATATATATATGTATATATATATATACATATATGTATATATATATATTAGTCATCGAACCAACTCAATCATCAACAGCATAACATTTGACTCTCAGGCTACTCTCCTGGAGCTCTCTTGATCTATCCAAATCTTCCAATCTCTCTTGATCAATCCAAATCTCGTCAGTCCTTATGTCCTACGCTCGTGTTCTACTTTCATGACTACTCCACTTACCCTTATCTATCAAAAGTCATTTGACAATGGTGAAATTCCAAGCTCGTGGTCTAAAGCAAATGTAACGCCTTTGTTCAAGAAATGCTCTCAAATCAATCCAGCAAACTACAGACCAGTCTCCCTTACCTCAATCCCATGTAAAATAATGGAGAAACTTGTCAAAAAAGCGATCATGATGTATCTAAAATTGAACAGCCTTCTTTCAAATTGTCAACATGGCTTTGTAGAGAAAAAGGCATGCGTCACAAATCTGCTTGAAACAATGGACTTTTTGACCGCGAACATGGCCAGAAAACTACCAGTTGATGTCGTATTCCTGGATTTTGCCAAAGCATTTGACAAAGTACCACATCAACGGTTGCTCTATAAACTAAAAATGTATGGAATCAAAGGAAATCTTAATTGGATTAAAGCCTTCCTAACCAACAGATCTCAACGAGTTGTCCTTGGTAACACTCAATCGAATTGGTTACCAGTGACTAGTGGTGTTCTGCAAGGTTCAGTCTTGGGTCCAGTTTTATTTGTCATTTACATCAATGACCTACCAGATGTCATAAGCAAAAAAAACATTTGTAAAATCTATGCTGATGACACTAAAATCCTCCACGTTGTCAATACACTTGCAGCTCAGCTTCAACTGCAATCAGACATTGATGAAATTGTTCTTTGGAGCAAGTCTTGGCTCATGGAGTTGAACGTAAAAAAATGCAAAGTCATGCACTTTAGTCAAAGAAATTCAATTCCCTTCGAGTACTCAATGGAAGAAACTGGCTCTAATTCAATAGTGGCGCGAACAAATTTGGAAAAAACTACCTCTGAATGTGACTTGAGAATCCAAATTACTAATGATCTTAAAATGGAAAGCCAATCCATCATCGCATTCATGTGAAGCAAACCAAATGCTTGGTATTTTAAAACATACCTTCCAATGTCGTGATGCTTCTCCGTGGAAACAACTATACTCCACCTATGTCCGTCCTCTACTTGAATTTGCTATCCCAGCTTGGAACCCTCATTTGGTGAAAGGCAAGCAAGTTATTGAGAAAATACAACACAGAGCCACAAAGATACCGCACAAATTGAAAAATTTTAACTATCAGTCTAGATGTGAAAAACTTGGCCTCACATATCTAATTGACCGCCGTAAACGAGGTGACCTCATTCAGAAATTTAAAATTGAGAAAAACATTGACATAATTAACTGGCATTTTCCTCCTATTACAATTCTGCCAAAAGCTAATCACAGAGAGAGATTTCACCGGGAAAAATATAACAACAATTTAACTCGTTTTAATTTTTTTAATAACCGAATTGTCAACACATGGAACAGCATGCCAGATAATGTAGTCTACTCTTCATCTGCCAACAGCTTTAAAGCGAGACTTGATAGGCTTCAAAGTTACAACAGCTCGCAATTCCCTTTGATGAAAGTTGCATTATGAGCTTCAAAAATGTTATCTATGATTTGACAATCTACATTTATATATATATATATATATATATATATATATATATATATATATTATATATATATATATATATATATATATATATATATATATATATATATATATATATATATATATATATATATAAATATATATATTATTGACCTCCACACACATATATGCAAAACTATGAAAACTAAGTTTTAATGTAAAAAAATGTAAAGTTATACCCTTAGGATCAACAAATACAAAATTTTCCCTTAGGACCAACAATGCCCTTAGGACCAACAAATACAAAATTCATTTATATACTAGTTGATAAAAATCTCAATACTTCAATTAATCTTAAAAACTCTCTCTTCATTAAAGGGATCTTCATTGACAGTAATTTGACTTTTATTTTGTAAGTACAAAGAATAACACCGCCAATAAAGTTGTAGGAATGATCAAAAGATCATTTGTCAATCTCAATATCTTGACATTTCGTACTTTGTTTATTTTCCTTGTTCGTCCTCACCTTGATTCTTGCAGCTCTGTCTACTATCCTAGAATTTAAAAAGATCAACAATTAATTTAAAATGTTCTATGCTAGTCTTGTAAATTTGTTTTTGGCCAGACTGGACTCACAACCAAAGACTACTGAGACTAAATTTAACTAGCATGAGCTATCGAGTCATCTGCGCAGCCATTATAGTTATTATTGAAATTGCAGACCATTAAGTAGTTAATCTGAGTTGTAATAACATGCGTGTTAATATGGCCACTTCCTAATATTAATATATGATTATATATTTAGTTAGTATTTATTCCTCCATTAGTGACTAACTCCAACTTAACAACATGCGATCATGCTTATAAATTGAAAAAAATGTTTTGTAAGACAGATGTCCGGAAAAAACTTTTCTAATATGGAATTCACAAATTTGTAGAATAGTCTACCATCTGAAATAGTGTTCAACATCTGTCACGACATTAAAAAAACATCTAGATGCATCTTGGGTTCATCAAATTTACAATTGCAAAATGGTAAATATTTACTAAGAGCCTCAAGTTGTTTATCTTCCTTAATGTCATATTTAAATGAAAAAATATTATCATAGAAACCTTTCCAAACCGCGCAAACTTTAAAATTCACTTTTTTTTACTAACCAATAATTAAACTCTACTTGCAATAAAAAGCGATTACATTAAACATTAAGAAATGAATCTCAATAATTTTTAGACTAATATTTTCAGTTAAAAAAAAAATAATAATCTCAAAAAAGAAAGTTAATCTGAAGTTTTTTTATATCATAAATTTATTTGTGATTATTTTTTAGCTGATGTACCTTTAAACTGAAGGTGGTAATAAAGTTTACAAAATTTGCTCTGGCTGAATTTTCCAATGAAAAAACAATATGTGTGCCATGAATGTAATCTGTTTTTCATGGCATATCAATGAAAGTTTGAAATAAATAACTTACAGCGGCAATCTTAATACAGCTAATGGCCAAAGAAGTATGTTTTTCATACTCAGTGTATGGAATGAAACAAAAGCGTCCTGCAAGGTCGTTATAGGTAAAGCACAATATTTGTATTCTACATTCCATTTCCTTTTAATAAATAAATACTTTAATAAAAGCTAATTACTTTACAATATTTATACGTGAAAAGTTATATATTTCAAAATTATATTGTGATGATATTTAAAAAACATTTTGTAGAGTTGCGTTTAGTCGTTTATCGTTGTATTCGTTCATTTCGAAATCGCTACTGACAAAAGAAAAAGAAAAATTGACAGAAAATTAAAAATTAAAGAAAAATTGGCAGCTTTCTGGCGACGGCCATTAATAGAGATTACAGAAGAAAAATAGAACGGTAAATGAGCAACGCCCAATATTGAGCAATGAAATAAGTATCGCCAATATAATGAAAGTCGATGCCCACTATCTCATAGTGAGAGTATAATGCAGTATATATATATATATATATATATATATATATATATATATATATATATATATATATATATATATATATATATATATATATATATATATATATATATATATATATATATATATATATATATATATATATATATATATATTTTGTACGAGTATTTAAATAACATTGATTTTATTTTGTTATATTTTGGTTTTGGAAAACTCTATACCTCTTTTTTTCATTTGTATCTGTTTCATATAACTTCAAATAAATTTAATGATTTCGAATTTTTTTTTCTTAAAGCGTGTTCTATGATTATTGTGATCTCCTAGACTATAACCTGTTTAACTCAAAAGAATAATGCAGCCTAGTACTATAGTATAACTTAAACAAGAAAACTGTTTGTAATTTTAATTATTACAAATTTGTAGAAGGCAATATTTTTTTTTATTTTTTAATAATAAAAATATAATGGAAAATACTCAATATATTGCCTTAATTTACTTATATATTATATATATCAGGATAATATTGTAAACTATATTAGGCCAATATTGGCCAGAATAATATCCCCATTATTGGCGCGATATTATTTACAATATTGGCGCAATATTATAAACTATATCGGGCCAACATTGCAGTGTGAACATTTTGCCAATATTGGCCAATATTGACTTTACAGTATTGGTGCAATATTGTATCGCCAATATTGGCCAATATTGGCAAAATGTTCACATTGCAACATTGGCCCGATATAGTTTACAATATTGCGCCAATATTGTAAACAATATCGCCCCAATATTGCGCCAATATTGTTTGCTACAAGGGATTCTTTTCCTTTGGGTTTTAAACAGTTAATAAAGAAAAATATTTTTTATACTTTTAACACTGTTTTATAATTTCGCTTTTAATCCAAACAAAAAATAATATTTAAGAATCGCTAATCGTTATTTCGTTAATTATTTACACTTAGATATTAAATTATTAGTAATTTATCAAAATTCTCTTTTGAATGACACCATAACAAAAAATTTTCATCATTTTTTACAATCTTATAGTTTCCTAGAAGACTAAAACAAAGTCGTTATGTTAATATATAAGTCATCGTTATGAAAATATATAAGTCTTCGTTGTGAAAATATATAAATCTTAGAAAAATTAATAAATTAGTAATTAATTAGTCCTATAAAAGAGTTCCACTTTAGATAAATTTATAATTGATTGGCAATCATTCATATCTAATTAACCGCTAACAGTAATTACAATTACATACAATTTTAAATGTTTGTCTATGTGGTGTAACTAGGGTGAGCGCAACCTTGAAAGAAGAGGCTGCACCGGAGTTCAGGGGGCCTTGTAGAGATTTCACTCATATTATTTACATTTTTAAGTTTTTAATATGAGAGGTACCATTCCTTTTTATATAAAAAGCATTTTTTTTTTTTTTCGCGTACTGTTAAATGAAAAACAATATCTTAAGTTAGTTAACTAATATCTGTTTTTTTCAAATAAGCTGAGATGGCTGATATCACAATAATTAACGGTGTTATAATTTACAAATGTGCTGTGATGAATGATATCACAATAATTTATTGTATATTAATTTACACATGTGCCAAGATGAATGATATCATAATGATTTACAGTGTATTAATTTACAAATATGCTGAGATAACTGATATCACAAAAACTTTCGGTGTAATTATTTACAAATATTCTGAGATGGCGGATATCACAATAGTTTACTGTGTGATAAATGTACTAAGATGACTGACATTGAAAACATCACAATGTTTTACGATAAACATAAACTATGCCAATTTACGCTTTTTGGTAAACTAGTTAAACAAAATATCAAACTTTTAATTTGTTTTTATTTGCGTAATTCTGTATCACATAATGCTTAAAAAAAAAAAAAGTCCTTAGATCTAAACGAAGCGGCGACGTTATTAGTAAATATGAAAAACGAACCAAACCCGAACCGAACGAACCGAACTATAAATAGAACCTTAAGTAAAAATTTTGCAATTCACACTACTACATACATAAAATAATAAGTAAAACAACATATAACATAAAACAGATCAATGCAACATATGCAGATCAATGCAACATATAACATAAAACAGATCAATGCAACATATAACATAAAACAGATTCAATGCAAGGTTCTCTTCATGAACAGACGTGTTTTTTGCAGCGTAAAAAAAAAAATTCAAGGAAAAACTATTTTTCTTTTTGGTATAATAAGTTTTTATATTTTGAAATACTTCGAAAATGGCAAAATCTTTAACAATTGTAAAAGAATTTTTGGAATGTCATGAAAGCACTCTACTAAAAACCTTTGGAGAGAGATTTGATAAATTAGAAGAAAAATTTTACAACGAAATTGAAAAATTAAAAAACGAAAATGCTTTACTGAAGAGAGAAGTAGCTGAAGTTACTAGAGCAATGAATTTCCAGAATGAATATTATGAACAAATTGTTAAGGAATCAAATAAAAGATAAACTCAATAATTACAAAAAAAGACCTAAAAGATAAACTCAATAATTACAACAAGACAACGAGAATCTAAAATGCACCGAAATTATTCAAGATAAATTTGCCGAACTAGAAGATAGAAGTAGACGAAACAATCTTCGTTTTGATGGCTTTGACGAAAGAGAAGAAGAAACTTGGGAAGATAGCGAATCGAAGGTTAAAGAGTTCTTAAAGGAGAAACTCGGAATTAAAAACAACATTGCAATCGAAAGAGCACACAGGACTGGGAAGAAGCACGTATCTGGAAAAAGAAGAAGAACTATCGTGGTAAAGTTTCTTAACTATAAAGACAGAGAAATCGTATTAAATGAGTATAAAAAAAGAAAGCTATGGAACGAAAAAATATATCTCAACGAAGACTATAGCAATCGCACAATCGAAAAAAGACGATTTCTATTTACAAAAGCAAAAGAACTTCGAGCTGAGGGTAAATTTGCTAAAGTTATATATACCAAACTTGTAACGCGCGCCTCAGAAGTATAAGAAATTCTTTTAAATCTTATTCAGCACACAAAAAATGATAACAACAAAAAATATAAAATGGATGACTATGAATCACTTATTTTCAACTTTAGAAACAAATACATTGGAGCTGATGAAAACAAAGATCCAGATATTAATTATTTTAATGACTTAAAAGTAGATTGTTTTTATCATTATGCTAGTGAGTTGAAAGAATTTCTTTCTAAAAATGGCGATGAAAACAAAAAAATTAGAATTGTCCACATAAATATAAGAAGTATGAACAAAAATTTTGAAAATTTTCGACATTTTATAGAAGAAACTAAAAACTATTTTGATATTATTTGCTTAACGGAAACTTGGTGTTCACAAAATGAGCTTAATAATAACTCTAATTTCCATTTTCCTAATTTTGAAACAATTTTATTAGCAAGACAATTAAATAAACGCGGTGGAGGAATTCTGATTTACATAAAACAAAACGTTGCGCATAACGTTAGGAATGATCTGTGCGTTTCTGATGGCGATAAAGAAATCGTTACAATTGAAATTTTAAACAATAAAAGCGAAAAGTTAAAAAGCAAAAGCATTCTACAAAGTTGTTGTTATAGACCACCTGGTGGTGCGTCGGAAAATTTAAGCTTATACTTAAAGCACAACGTTTTTCATAAAGGTAACAAAGAAAAGAAAAAAAACTTTGTAATTGGCGATTTAAATATGGATTGCTTACGATATAGCGAAAACAAAAAAATAAAAAAATTTTATGATGAAATATTTGTATCAGGAGCAATACCGCTTATAAACCGGCCTACTCGAATAACAGAAAACTCAACCACCCTTATAGACAATATTTTAACAACAAATATATATAACAATGACATTCAAATAGGCATTATAAAATCAGATATATCAGACCATTTCCCCATTTTTTTAACAATTAACACAATTTCAACTCCTAACATTAATAAAAGTCAAACTATAAGAAAACGTATTTTTAACAAAAAAAATTTAGAAGCATTTAAATATCAATTATCATTGTTAAACTGGAAGCATATAAATTTTAATGAAGACATAAATGCAATCTATAATAAGTTCTTTAATACATTCTTCTCGGTGTACGATGCAAATTTTCCCGTTTCCGAAATAACCTTAAAACCAAAAACCTTAAGTAGTCCTTGGATTACCAAGGGTCTCAAAAAATCTTCAAAAATTAAACAAAAATTATATATAAAATATTTAAAAACAAAATCTCATGCTAATTTACGCATATATAAAAATTACAAAACTCTATTTGAAAAAATTCGCAAAAACCTAAAAAAAAATTATTACTCTAATTTAATCACTAAATATAAAAATGACTCAAAACAAATATGGAAAATATTGAAAGAAATAACGGGAAAACAGAAAACCTGTTCAAATTTCCTTCCGAAAATGATTAAGATAAACAATGTATGTGTATATGAACCAAATGAAATAGCAAAAGAGTTTAATAAATATTTTATTGATATCGGAAGTAGGTTGGCTGATAGGATTCCATCTACAAATATTTCCTTTAATGATTTTTTGACAACTTCAAATAATTTACTTTCTTCCCATGACTTATTCCTAGACTTATCGATTGAAGAGTTTGAAAGAGCCTTCAAATCTTTAAAAAAAACTAAGCAACCGGTGCGGATGGAATAAACGGGAACATTATTATAGATTGCTATGAAAGTTTGAAAAATATTTTATTTAAAGTTTTCCAAACATCTATACAACAAGGGGTTTTCCCTGATCTATTAAAAATTGCAAAAGTTATCCCGATTTATAAAGAAGGAGAAAAATCAAACGTAAATAATTATCGCCCTATTTCTATCCTTCCTACGTTTTCAAAAATATTAGAAAAAATTATCTTCGAAAAAACATACAACTACTTGGTTTCAAATAATTTACTATATAAAAATCAGTTTGGCTTTAAAAAAAATAGTTCAACTGAACAAGCTATTATTCAATTTACACGTGAAGTCTCAAATTCTTTTGCTAAATCACAATATACACTTGGTGTTTTTGTCGATTTATCAAAGACTTTTGATACAGTCAATCATGATATCTTACTTAAAAAACTTGAGTTCTACGGAATAACTGGTAAAATGATCAAATGGTATAAAAGCTACTTGTCAATTAGAAAGCAATTCGTCTACCACGGAGAAGAATTGCTTCCTATTAATCTTCAAAATAAAACATTAATTGAAATAAAATGTGGTGCTCCACAGGATTCTATCCTTGGCCCACTTCTCTTTTTAGTATACGTCAACGATCTAAATAAGGCCTCGAATCTTATAAGCATCATGTTTGCCGACGATACCAATTTATTTTTGTCAAACAAAGACATTAACAAACTTTTTTTAGATATGAATAAAGAACTTAATCAAGTTTCTAACTGGTTTAAATGCAATAAATTAACCTTAAATATTGAGAAAACAAAGTGGATCCTTTTCCACTCCTCAACAAAAAAACGCTTTTTGCCTTATGATTTACCTAAACTTTATATTGACAAAGTAGAAATAAAAAAAGATTCCGTTTTAAAATTTCTAGGTATTTATCTTGACGATAATATGACATGGAAAGCTCATATTGATTATATAAGTACGAAAAGTATTGGTATCCTCTATAAGGCCAGAAATTATCTAAATAAAAATAATTTAAAACAACTATACTACTCATTTATTCATAGCTATATAAACTATGCAAATATTGCCTGGGGAAGTACAGGTAAAAGTAAGTTACAACGTCTTTACCGCCATCAGTAACATGCAATGCGAATAATATATTTTTTAAATCGTTTTTCAAATACAAAACCTCTATTTAAAGATATGAATGTATTAAATGTTTATGAACTTAACTTGTTCAATATTTTATGTTTTACGTTTTGTTGTATGAATAACCCCTTATTTCATGTTTTTAAAGATCTATTTACCTTTAAAGTAAAGAATAAATATAGTTTGCGAAATAATAACTATTTAAAAGAACCCTTTTGTCAAACAAAGAATAATCAATTTTGTATAGATTATCGAGCACCTTATATCTGGAATAAAATTGTACAGCCTATTTTAGATTCATCTATCTCTTTTTCTGTTTTTAAAAACAAGTTAAAAAATATTATTTTTTCTACGGATAATATATTGAAATATTTTTGAGATATTATTTTAACCATTTCTTATTTCAAATGTTTTGAATTATTTCAAATGTTTGATTCTTATTTTGTTATAAACTATCTGTATTATACTATATTATATTTATATTGTAATTTTTATATGGTTCTGGCGACAAGATCAATATGATCTTCTTCCAGATTCCAAGTTTATATGTTTATATTACATGGAAATCACGACATGTAAATAATGTAAACTAAAAAAAAAAAAAAAAAAAAAAAAAAGATCAATGAAAAAAGATCAATGGTTCAAACAGTGACAGTGCGTAATTCGAAGGCATCTTTTTTGTCCAGCATGATTAAAAAATATATTATTCATCCTTTGCATCAACACTTATTGTTCTTTCTCACAAATACTTATTTTAAGATCGCAGTTTTGTTTATTCAAAGATGCCTAGTATGGTAGACAAAATTATAACTTCTTCAACACCTCAGGAGATATACTAGGACTCAGGCAGTACAGATATAAACAGCTTTAGTGAATGCAATCAATTAAATCAATTGTCTCCTTCAAAAAAGAGTAAAGCTCACGCTGAATCGTATGATTTGCAGGCAGATTTTAAAACAGCTGCTACTCCATTATGTAAAGCAGGCAGTAAATGCACAAGACGTGAAGTTGACAAATACTTGCACAAATTTATGAGCTAAAGGATAAACAAGGACCGAATCTGTTTTCTAAATTTTTCAAGAAATAATAAAGTTTCTAAACTGAAACTTTCAGGGTACATTATTAACAGGACAAATAACAATCTGAACCTATAACCTAGTTGGAAATTAGTTCTACTATAAGTTAAAATGCATCTAGGACAACATTCACAATTATTTGCCCCAAATTTGATCAAAAAAAAAAGGTTCCAATAAATTTAAACTTTTCATTGAGGTTCAAATTGTAGTCATACCCATTCTGAAACTTTTGGAAATTTTTCAAAACGTTTTGTCAGCAACATCTTAAAAATTTGGGGAAAAAATGACCACAAAAGTAAATTTTGAATTTAAAAAAAATTTAAATAGAGATAAAAATAAAAAAAATCTAAATATTAAAAAAAATAAATTATTCTATAATTGGTTATACTAGCCATCAGGCTAAATATATTTTCTTTATTAAATTAGTTCAAATAACAAAAAGTACTTCTAGAAATAGCGACCCTTAGCGACCATTGCTATACAAGTTATCTCAAAATAAACAATCATCATAAGCAAAAATAATTGAAAAATTTACGTTTTTGAACTTAGATAAGTGTTTCATTGGTTTCCTCGTAAAACTTTTGTTAATATTTCACTAAAATCAAAAAATCAAAAAAATTTAGGTTTTTCACTTTTAAAGACTAATAAAAATACAATAGGGTTGATACCGAACCGAACCGAACCCGAACTGAGCATAAGATCGAACCAAAACGAACTCGAATATTAGGTTTAACCGAACCGAACCGGACCCGAACTTTAAAAAAATGGTTCAATTCCCATCTCTATAGTTTATATATATATATATATATATATATATATATATATATATATATATATATATATATATATATATATATATATATATATATATATATATATATATATATATATATATATGTATATATATATACATATATATATATATATTTAATTTTTTATATGTTGCTTGATATTAAATGCTTTCAATTCTTAGAACGTTGAATTACAATTTGTAAGAATGTACATCTTATTCATCAACATTATTCGCATGCAACTTTTGGAAGATCTCTTATATTATATTGGAGAACTTTTCTGTGGAATCAGATAGTTTTGAAAAACTTTGATTTTTTAAAGTTGGAACTTTCTTTTTTTAATAAATATAAACTAAAAAAAGTTATTGTGATTCGAATTGCGTGACTGCTTAATGTGATATTTGAAATATATTAGATTTTATAAAAATCTTTTAAAATGATAAACGGTATCTTATTTTAAATAATTGGAGCTTTTAAATACTATCGTTAAACCGTATTGTTTTGTTAACGGTATTATTGTTAAAGGTTTATTATTGTTGAAATACCTGGTTATATTTTTATTATATTATTAAACGGTTTATTATATTATTAAACGGTTTTTGGTGACGCAACCTCTTCATGTTTCCGTGTTCTTAAATTTTATGTACAACGGCAAAATAAATAGTAATAAGAACAAACAAACAAAAAAACAAAACAAAAAAAAAACAAAAAAAAAAATCAGTTGTTAAAAAGTGCAAGTGTCGTCATACATTGCGTCATTAATGTAAAAAAAAAACATTAACTGATTTGAAAATATTTAAATGTAATTTTTTAAAGTTTTTTGTTCGTTAAGTTAAAGTATTTTTAAAGTAGAGCTTTCCGTAAATAAAATTAAAACAACAAATTTATAATATTTAATTAATAAACGTTTTTTGCAAAATGAGTCACTTTTTATAGCAATTTAAGTATTTGACTATCACAATCTACATGGATGATGACCAACGTGAAACACTCGCAAAATTATGAATAAATCAATTAGATAAAGGAGTTCTTTGATCTCAATTACTTGCTGATAAATCATTTCAGCAATTATTGTCAGACTGAAGAAAAAGTTATTGACATAATCAGAAGTTGTAAAAGTTGTCTCAGAAATTGTAAGAATTGTCTCTTATTTTGAGGCATTCAAATTATTATAATCGCGCATTATCTGTTACCATAGCATCAAACGAAAGTTTTTTTTTTCATGGTTTATCTAAAATGGCGCCATAAGCATAACTTCATAAATAGTAATAAGGTATTGCTTAACATAAAATAATGTTAACATTTAAATGGATTTTTTATATTTAAAAAAATCATGAACATTATTAATATAATCAATTTGAATTAGTATTTCAAGTGTTTTATAAATTTCATTAGTGATAAGTTAAAAATCAAGTTTAAGTGGTAATAATAAATTTGTTTCTTATATTAAAAATTTGATCGCCTTGACGTCCAGTTATCTAAATGATATAATTTTTGATACAACTATCAGAAAAAAAAAATATATATATATATTAATTTTACCATTTTCTTGGTGAGGAACAAATTTTTGAATTGATTGTTTTCTTTAATAACTTCTATACAACCGAGATAAAAAAAAAAAAAAAAAAATGCGTTCCAAAAAAGCCCCACCACTGTGTTTCTTTTAACTCTTTTTTACTTCCTTTTTTATGTTGCGTAACAAAGATATTTATCCAGTAATTGACTTTTTTTTTAATTTTGTGCTTAAATTTCATTTAATAGTGAATTTACTTTCAAACGTACACAACAGGTTTAACCACACACTTTCATATTTATATTTTAAAGTTGTTTATCATATCAAGTTGTCAATCATAACAAATAACAATCAGTTATTATTATAACATAAACAAAAAAGATTGTGTTATATTTCTTAACTTTTTTCCTATTATAAAAGGCTTTTTTTTAATGTTAAGCCAACGAAGTACAATTAATCTCCAAAGTTTGAAAGGTTTCAAAAGAGACTAAGCTCGAACTTTTACTTACGTTTCATTAACAATAAAAAGAAAAATTACATCAAAACTTAAAACACAAACTTTAATTTTTTTATACAAAAGTAGTTTAGGTTATTTATATATTTATTTATTTAATATTTATAATATGTTATTTATCATTTAGATATTTAGGTTTAGATACTAGATGTTATTAAAAGAGAATATATCAGTAAAATATAAAACTTTGTCGGTTTACTTTACAATAACCAAAAACAAACATTAAAAAATAGCAACAGTACAGATAAATTTCTGATAATTATTTATGTAGTCTTTTAAATCAAATAGAACGTTATGATTGAAAACAAGGAAAACAGTTTGAAATAATCTTTACTTTTGAAAATGAATGATTTTCTTGCTTGCTTTGAACAATCAAAAGAATACACCCAAAAGAATACACCCAATCAAAAATTACACCATACAAAAATAAACTGCAACATATGTAGTAAAAAATGTTAATTTAATTTGATTTAATGAAGATTTAACAAACACGAAGCTTTAAAAAATCTACAAGTAATATAGAAATTTTTTCTATGTTTTATTTGCCAAGATTTTACATTAAGATCTTTATTATTCTTACTCAAGGGGTCATCCATTAGGGTGGTGCTTAAAACAACTTTTTTGAGAAAAACCTGCTGGTACCCCCTAAATGTGTTTTATCTAATACAAAAACACTAGGTTTAAAATTTTTTTAAACAAAAATTATTTTTAGGGGTAGCTCAAGGCCCTCAAAAATTTGACGGGTCCCTAATATTTTGAAAAAAAAACTTTTTCTAAAGTATGTCAACCTGGTACTCAAAAGAAGCGATATTATATAAAAACTTCAAAAATAATAATCATTTTACATAAAAAACATGCCTAAAAAAAATTATTCTCAAAAAACCTGAAAATATTGACTTTTTTTATTTTTAGCTTAAAAACAATAGTTTTTATGCATTTATACCTGAAAAAATTATTTTTATAAAAAATTATTATTATTTTTAAATTTTTTATATAATTTTGCTTATTTTGAGTACCAGGTTGACATACTTTAGAAAAAGTTTTTTTTTCAAAATATTAGGGACCCGTCAAATTTTTGAGGGCCTTGAGCTACCCCTAAAAATATTTTTTGTTCAAAAAAATTTTAAACCTAGTGTTTTTGTATTAGATAAAACACATTTAGGGGGTACCAGCAGGTTTTTCTCAAAAAAGTTGTTTTAAGCACCACCCTAGTCATCCATAAAAGAAGTCACGCTAAGTTTAACTAATGGCTAGAAGTAGATGAATGTTGGCTCTCGTGCGCAGAGAATTTTAAAGTATTGTAGCACTTTATGCTCGATGAAAATCTCCGCGGGAGGGAGCCAATAAACTTCTACTTCGAGCCAGTATTTAAATTCTGAATGACATCCTTTACGGACGACCCTTAATATATTTATGTATAAATATTATCAAAAATATTAATTTTAAAGTTATTATTATTATAATTATATTTATTGTATTTGAAAACTCTTTTTTGAAATATTTAGTAAATTCAAAAATCTAGATGATAAAAATACTTGATGAGACTTTAATGAAAAAAAGAACGAAACAATTTTTACCAAAAATAAAAAAAAATTTAGCAATCTTTGAGTTACATAATTTCAAATGTAAAAAATAAAATAGTTTTTAAATAATATGAAATTTAAAATATGAAATTTAAAAACATGAAATTTTCAAATAGTTTTTTTATAATTTAAAAGACTTTCAAAAAAACTTTATGACCTCCAAGTTAAACACTACTTGGCACTTTAAAATTGTTCCAAAAAGAATAAATATTATACTCAAGTAGTTTACATAATAGTTTGTAGGTTTAAAAATTAGTTTGTTATTAAAACAAAGTATATATTAGTAAAATATAAAACTTTGCCAATTTACTTGACAATATTTAAAAATAAACGTTAAAAATTGCAATATTATGGTGTAACTTTTGGAAAATTATTTATGTCAACCTAACGGGACGTTTTGTCTAAAAAAGCAGATTATTCACACAAACTATTATTTACTTTTAAAAATAATGTAATATTTATAATTAACTTATCTTGTAGTATAAAAATTATGTTAATATATAGTTAGCCAGTAATAGATGATCATTACTTGAGCCAAGTTTACCATTAAACTAAACTTTACCACTAAAATTGATTTAAAAAACAAGTAAAATAAAAAAAAAAACAGCAAAAAAAAATATTTTACTAAAATATAAATTAAAAAAGAAATGTGTTAACCCCCGCACTACATTCATAATAAAATAAATATTTACTAAGAAAATTTTGTTAATTTGGATTACGTTATATTGAACCAAACTTGGATTGCAATATATTGTCGTATGAGAGAAACGTAATTAGCCAATTTGTATACCACGCGGTTTAACTTAGCGGTGGGGACAAAATTCTAGCCAATCAGATATGGTTTCTAGATTATACGTTTTTTCTCGATTAAACAACTAAAAAAAAAATAGTAGTGCTTAACATCATCGAGTCAAAAAATTTATAAAAATCAAAACAAAGGTTCATTTTATTTAAGTTACAAAAATAAGTTAGCGGTAATGTAACTATTATTTACTATAAACTAACAAGATATTAAATATTTTGGTAAGATATCAAATTAATTTATTGTATTGCTTAAATCAATCGTTCACTGGTTTTGTAGCGCATCATTATTATGTTTTAATAACTTTAGAAGCAAAACTACTAACGGAGAACGTATTAAGTTTTACAGGCTTCCTAAAGATGTTTCTTTACAGAAAGAATATATTCGAATTTTACATACATAAGGAATGAATTTCAAAAATGGGCATATTTGTTGTGAACATTTTTTATCTGGAATTAGAGAGTTATGCACTGATATTCCAGACATAGCTGCACCATCAAGCCAAATTGCTAAAATGGAACGAAAATACACAAATGCTCTGACCAAAATGACTACATCATAAAAAGCGACTGAAGCTGAAAAAAATATTTGAAAAGGTTGAAACGTAAGCTTGATATGATGATATCTTTGTCTAAACCTTGTCTTGTTCGTAAAAAACCCACAAACCGATCGGTTTATGTTACGAAACCTCCTTTATCATTACGTAAACCAACTAAACAAGAGTCGTTTTCTAAATTAAAAAAAGGAGCAGATGCTTATAAAATTCTTCAAGAAAAACTAAACAACGCAAACAACTATATAAAACAACTTAAAAGTGAAAAAAAAGTAAACAAAGTAAAGAACGATATATTACATAAAAAATATATGTTTATCTGTAAGAAATCAAATTTTAAACAAAAAACTGGACAAATTCGAAAAAGAAATGTTTATATATTCCAAACTTAAAGACAAATCAAACCAATTTAAATATTTATGTGGTCTATCTATCCAGCAATTTGAACTCTTATATAATTGCTTAGATCCATACTGTCACTTAATTGAATATCCAGATTGTAAAGGCACAGGAATCAGATTCCTTGATAAGAAAACTGAGTTGTTTTCAGTTTTAACATTGTGCAGACATGCACTTCATCTTGGTGTTATTGGATTTATGGTGGGTGTTGCTGAAACCACCATGTATCGTATTTTCACTGGGTGGGTTGTATTTATAGACGCAATATTTTCAGAGGTAAATTTAAAGGTTGAAAGCACTTATATTTCCTTAATGATGCCTTCTGTTTTTAAAAAAACTGGGCATGGTGAAACCGATATTGTCGTGGATGCTACTGAATTTAAATTTCAACAACCAAGCAATTATGACCTAAACACTTTAATATTTTCAAGTTATAAAAACTGTACAACAGGGAAAGCTTTAATTGGAATCTCTCCACATGGATCAGGTTTGCTTTTTGGAGACAAATATCCTGTTTCCATCACAGATAATGAATTAATAGAACAATCTCTTATTTTAGAACTAGTTGAGAAAGAACACGAAATTATGGCACATAGAGGGTTTTCAATTTAAGATTTATGTGCTTCAAAAGGAACATATCTAAACCGTCCATCTCAGAAATCAAGCCATCAGTTCTGACATAGCTGGTAATTTTGATATAGCTTCTACTCGTATTCATGTAGAGAGATTCATAGGACACGTACGTGATTAGTCAATTCTTAATGCTGTGTGGCTTTTACAAAGAATGGACTTACTTTCTTCAACATGGAAAATGTTATGTCATGTTGTAAATTTTACAATGCGCCCAAAGGAAGAATTTTGTAATAAATAATATTTTGTGAATATATATAAGCATATAATATTATCTTATTTATTTTTATCATAAAATATTTTCTAAATATTTAAACCAATTTTAATGGAGGAATTGATGTTTCAACAAGTTCTTTAATATACGATCTAAGTGGTTTTAGTTCTTTAAAATCTGGAATTTTTCCCACAATATTATTTCCAAGAGTAGTGAGCAAAGAATGTTCTTGATGGTGCAATTTTTTTATTGGATTTGAATGCAAAATGCTATCTGAGATTTCCTTGATAACTGACATCAGTAGATAATTAGTTTGAATAATAAAGTAATTTGAGTTCTCTGTTTCTGGATGATAAGATTGTAAAATGCAGTATTTAGATTTTGTACATAGTAGTTCAAGCTGTTCCTGTACGTAATATTGAGGTAATATTTCGGGAGAACATTTTGACATCTTTGCAAACTGTTGAAGTGCCATAAACTCATATTTATGTCCACGCTCAAAATTTTTAATGTTTTGTGTGTTATAAAAATCATTTTCGTTTAATCCTTCCTTAACTATTTTCCAATAATTTGTAAATTTTTCCTGTCCATATATCCCTAGCAATGCTAGTAATCAACTCCCCGTTATTTTTCTTTTTCTTGTGTCCATCCATTCTTGGGTATTTTGTTTGACATTAATATGATTTGTGTATTGCCTTTGCGTTGGTATCATATTTTTCAAGTTAATATGAATTACAAGATGCTCATTTAAAAGTTGCATACTATTTTTTTCTAAAACAATATCTTGTTCAGGTGAAATTGAAACTACCTCAATGTTTATGATATTTTGATTTAGTATTTGCACTATTGTTGGTATTTCACTATAATTTTCTTGATATTCTTGTGGGTTTACTGTTTGTTTATTTAGAGTACGACTTTTTACATTTATAGAACTTAATTTATCAACTTGAGAGTTAAAACTTTCACGATCATATCTGAATCTTAAATGCCCCATTAGTGATGATTCATATCCTAGATCTACTGAACAAAGAGTATCATATACGTGTTTCTCAAAATTGGGTAGCTTATTCAGCCCTTCTTTAATTTTTTGCTTCATTTATAAAACATCTCTTTTAAAGAATGAACTTTCTGGATCTGCTAGAGCAATTTTTAAGTTTTCAATTTTGTTCTTGTTTCTTGCTGATTTTACTTTAATATGACATGGTGGGACCATTGGAATATACATAGTGGGACCATTGGAACGGAGCCTTTTTTTGATCTTTTATGCCATTTCTGTATGACTTGTGTACACGTTAATTCTAAAATTGTTGTCTTTTTGTCCACATAATGCTTTAGGTAAAGAAGGATAGCTAAAACATGACAGCAAAGTCCACTAAGACCAACAGGACATTCGCAATAACCCTTTAGGGGTGTTCCTCCTACAAAAAGTAAAATAACAGGACGTGCATCGTAGCCATAAGATTTTCTTATAAAAGCTCTTACATATACCCTATTGCTATCTGAATGCGTTTTAACAGATATAATTTTTCTGCTTGTTAATATCTTATATGCTTTTTGCTGTTGTCCAAATGTACCCTCTCTTTTATTGAGAATGTATTCTTTAAAAAGCTTAGATTTACATAAGGGTAGAGGTTTTCATTGTCAGTCCAATTTTGAGATATGTGTGGTATCTCGTCTACATGCAAACTTGTTGAGAACAAGAATTTTTTTTTTGCTTTTCGATAAAGTTTTTCAACTAATTTTGGATATGGTAAGAACTTCAAAATTCTTGCTTGCAATTCTTTAACAGAGCCTGTGACACCAAGTCCGTAGTTTACAAGCCATTCAACACAAATCTTTCTTGAAGCTGTTGAAATGTTTACAACATTAATACTTAGCTCTATTTACAAATATACTTTTAAAACAGTAGTAGTAAATTAATAGTTAACTTTATATTACTTTTTAAACTTTATATCACTTTACTTTAAGTTTTATATCGCTTATTTTAAACTTTATATCGCTCTAGTTTAAACTAATATATATGTAAACAAACGCAATAATATTTTTTGTCCCTACAGCTTAATTATTCGTTCCTAGACCTTCCCGTATGAAAGTGGGTAATTGAAGATTTTGTTTGCAATAATATAAAATAATGATTAACTTTTATCAGGATTGCTGAATGAAGCGACGATTTGTTGGAAAAACCGTTAAAACAAGATGGAAGAAATTTATTTTAAAGTCCGATAACTAAAGTTAGGATGCATAAATTTTTGTATTGATGTACACTTTGCTTTTCCAAATGTTATGTTACATAAATATATTAATGAAAGGCATGCTCTTACATTAATCTTTTTAATAAGGTCAAAGAAAAATGGAAACATTTAAGCAATTTGTCATTCTAGTAATCACAGGAGTCAGATACAGACCTGCTTCCTTTACATTTTTATTGCAGACCAGCTTTATAAACATTTATATTTTAAACCATTTATATTCAGTTTTTTTTTAGTTCTTTTAATTTTGGCACAATTTGGTCATTAAAACCACCACTATTATTACCATGGCTGACCCCAGTTTTTGTTTTCTTTTTTTTCAGTAAAGTGATTCGCAACATAATTTACATATAATGTATCTAGTAAAGATGGTATTCGACTGGTGATACTTTATTAATAGTTTCTTTGTGTAATCTAACAATCATTAATAATTTAAATTTTTTAATATTGAATCTGCATCAAATTATAATAAATTCATTAGCCAAATTATTTTAAAGCAGACCCAAAGTTTACCATAAAAAAGCTACCTTAACTAACAGATAAATCAGTAAATTAATTTAATTGTGGTTCCAAAGTCATAAAAACATTTTTTAATATCTTGAACCGTTAAAGCAGCGATTCAAATATTTTTATAGTGAATTTTTATTACCTTATTATAGCTATTATATTTATATTATTATATTACTGTTATTTTATATTATTATTATAGATGCAGTGTAGTGGTTTGAGTTCTAGTTTCTAAATTGGAAGTCCGTAGTTCAAAGCCAAGTCTCAAAGCCAGTTCATATATGCATTATTGGTAAGAAAATAGGCTTGTGATAAGACCATTAGGACTTCTTGGAGCACCTAAGTAACTAATAATAATAATAAAACAACCTAAATTAAAAATTAAAAAAAAGTATTTAGGTATATATATACCTAAACAGTTAGAGAAATAATTAAACTTAGTGATCAAAGTTTAACATGTGATCTACATCTAAAACTTTAAGGTGTATTCGTGAAAATCATTTTTTAAGCACACAACAAAAAAATGTATAATACAATGATTTCTTCATAAATTAAAAGCATTTTGGTATTCAAGGTACGCTCTTAGACTGAATCTCAGCTCTTAGATCTCTTAGACTCAATCTTAGACTGAATCTCAGCTCTTACAAAAAAATGTATAATACAATGATTTCTTCATAAGTTAAAAGCATTTTGGTATTCAAGGTACGCTCTTAGACTGAATCTACGCAACCGAAGTCAACGAGTGGTCATCAACGGCATCAATGGCAAGCGGTTTCTAGTGACATGCCTCAAGCCCCGGTCTTGGGCCCATAGCTCTTTGTAATCTTTATTAATGATCTGCAGGAAAACATCACTCATCATATGAAACTGTATGCTGATGACATTAAACTAAAAATATTGCAGTTTTTGCTGAGAAATCACAATTTACTTTTGGAGTTTTCATTGATTTACCAAAAACCTTTAATACTATAGATCATGAGATTATTATACAAAAACTTAAAAACTATGGAATTAGCGGAAATTTTTTAAATTTGCTAAAAAGCTATTTAAACAATCGTAAGCAGTTTGTGCAAATTGCCGTTATCCTCCTCAACAAGTTTACTAGATATAACATGTGGTGTTCCCCAAGGGTTTATACCAGGGCCACTGCTCTTTCTCATTTATGTTAATGAATTGCACAATGACTCAAATTTGATGGCAGTAATGCTTCCTGATGATAAAAATCTTTTTCTATCCGGTAAAAATATCATTACACTATTTAATGAAATCAACATGGAACTAATTAATATTTCAAACTAATTTAACTCAAATAAACTATCCATTAACTTGGAAAAAACTAAATGGACTTCATATCATTCAAAATCCAAAAAAAACTTTTAAAAAATGATATGCCTCAAATATATATTGACAATGTTCAAATAAAAAAATCAAAAGTTATACATTTCCTTGGTGTTTTCAAACTTTGCGCAATAAAGTTTTAAAAAATATTGGAGTAATATATAAAACGAGAAATTTTGTAAATAGACATTTATTAATTCATTTTTATCACTCACTAACCCAATGCCAAATAAACTATGCATATATTGCATGGGGTAGTTCTAAAAAAATTTAATTAGATCCTCTATATCGGTAACAGAAGCATATAGTACGTTTAATAAACTTTAAAGATTGTTATACTCATGCCAGACCTCTTTTATTGGAAATGAATGTTCTTAGTATATACCAGCAAAATGTTCTTAACGTTCTTTTATTTATGTTCAAATGTAAGGTATACCTATATCCTTTCAAAATTTATATGCAATAAAGCAAAAAAACAAATATGACTCGAGAAATGACAATCTTATTCATCAACATTATTCTAATACAAGTTTTGGAAGATCTCTTCTAACATATCGCGAAGCTCTTCTGTGGAACAAAACAGTTTTGAAAAATTTTGATTTTTCTCAAAGTTAGAGTTTTCTTACTTTTAAAATTAAGCTGAAAAAAGTTATCTTGTCAATTGATATTATCTT